TTTTTGGCTTCAAGTACGAAAAACAACGGGAGGAGGGGTGTTCACCGGTTTTTGGAAACACTCAGGTTGACTGTCGGGATTTGCCAGGGCTCTTTTGGCCTATGTCTGCAAGTGACTGGCACCTCTGGTTCCCCGTGTGAACAAAAGGGGGCGGTGAGCTTTCTTGCCAGAGCGAGCTCCAAACGGGCAGTTTCCTCGAAGCACCCCCCAAAAAATTCCCTAGGACAGAAGCAAAGAGGAAAAAATAGACAAACGCAGCTTTGCGCAGAGGTACGACCATACATATATATATATATATGTATACCATGTGTATGTATATATGTTCCCGTCGCCCGTCGTCCCCAGGCCCCCCCCCCGGGTCCATCCCCCCCCCCAACGGGGGGGGGGGGGGCTTGTGGGGCGGCTTGCTCCAGTGTGCGCGCGACGTTGCGGGCGCGTTTGCGGCGCTGTTCGTGTGATGCGCTGCAATGTGATTTGCTCATTTTGCAGCACGCGACAAGTTGCAGCGCTGTCGCAATTGACAGTGCGCGATGCCACGACGCAGTTTGGGGTTTGCAGCGCCGCAACCAAGTGCTAACCAAGTGCGCTGCAACGCGCCAGTGGCAAACGCACTTTGCTTGCTACCTATTATAGACCCCAGCGGGCGGTGGGGGAACCATGGTCGCGGGGGGCTTTGCGGTCACACTGTGCTACCATTCTCCCCAACCCCCATTCCGGGGGGGGTGGGAACCATGGACCCCCCCCACCCATCCCACAGAGGGGCTGGGGGCTTGTAGGGTCACACTGTGCTACCTTCTTGACTGAGCATGACCATTGGGGGGGGGGGGGTGGGGGGGGGGCCAAGGAAGCCTGGAACATATATATATATATATACATTGAAAAACTATACCTAGATACAGTCACACATTCCTGATTTGTTTTTTTTGTGTCGTTTGCCTTGCGCGGCTCAACCACAATGTAGGTCTACACCAAGTCGCATCGACATGCCTTAAATGCTGAGCCGGCCAAAAAGCGTGGGCCGTTCATCATCAAACCCACGGGAAACTGGTTTAACAGTGGTGATCCAAGTGCTCCGACAAGCCGTCGGACTCTGGATCCAAATGGCCAATGCGCCTGACAATGAACTGAGCAATTCAAACTAGAGTGCCAACAAAAAAGCTGAAGCCAGCATCTGTTCAATGCAAAAGTCATGGCCATGTCCATCAAGCTCGGAGAATCGCAATCTACCGCGACAGCGCTGCAAATCAGATATGGGGCTTCAGCATTCCTCCACTAAGCAAGTCCTTGGCTGCCGAGGCAAAACTCGAGTCGACTGTGGGCAGGTTGACAACTTTCTTTACCCGACGAACCGAGCCCAGCCCCAGAGGTTCGATTCCTGCCGTTGTCGTTCAGGCTCCGTCGTTTTTGCAGCACCTGGCAGGCATGCTTGCCATGGTTCCATGAAGCAGTCTGCGGCAGCGGCAAGCTCGCCTTGCTGCTTAGCGCGGGCAGGGCCAGCTGTCCAAACGGCAAGCAGCCTGCTGCTGCGCTGCCAGCCAGTGCGTCTTCCTTCGGCAGTTTCCCTACAAGCAAGTCGTCCTTTGGCCGTGACTTCTCTCTGGATACCTTCTGCGGCGCACATACTGCGGCGCCCTCAACTTTGCTGTCGAGGGTGCTGGCACCTTCTGCATCTGGCTGGAGGATCTCTTGACAGGGCGGTGCATGCCGCCCGCCATCTGGTCAGGCACGTAACACCGCTGCGCAGGCCAAAACATGGCAGTGAATCTGACAAACTTCTGATGCCTGCCCTCAGCCGTCATGCAAGATACCTGCGCTGGCTCCCTGGACCAAGCAAAGCCAATTCCTGTGAATTTTACTTCGGAGAGCAAACCGGGGGGAGGGCGACTGAGATGCGGCTGAGTTTCACATCACCTCCTTTCTACGTGCAAACCTCAAAGCTTACCCCCGCGGCGTGCCGCTTGGACAGGCATGGATGGGGAAGGGGCAAGTCCGCCCTAGTATTTATGTATATATATATATATATATATATGCATATTGTAGTTTACAGGTATACATACGCGTGGATCGGCCACCTATACATATATATTCATATATATATATATATGTATGTACATAAATAGTTACCCATCCGCATAACTCCGCACATATACACATACAACCATATCTATACATATATATATATATGTGTACATATACATAGACATCCACATGTCCTTTCCGAGGCGGCTGTTTTCTGCCAGGTTTCCTGACCCCTTCCTGCCGCTGAGCGCGCGCATGGAGACCTTCCTGCTGCAGCTCTTCGCGGCGCTGCGGAAGGTCTGGAGCCGCGGCCCGACACGCGCGGAGCGGTGGGCGTGGGGGGGGGAGGGGAGTGCGAGACGCGGGGGGCGCCCGGGGGGCGGTGGTGGGGGGGGGGCCCTATGTCTCAGTTTTTTTTTACACAGCGAAACTGCGAATGGCTCATTAAAGCAGTTACAGTTCATTTGATGGTCACGGCTACATGGATACCTGTGGTAATTATAGCTGCGCTGGGTGGCGTGGGGTGGCGTGGGGTGGCGTGGGGTGGGGTGGGGTGGGGTGGGGTGGGGTGGGGTGGGGGGGGGTGGGGTGGGGGTGGGGCGGTGTGGTGTGGGTTGGGTTGGGTTGGGTTGGGTTGGGTTGGGTTGGGTTGGGTTGTGTGTGTGTGCGCGTGGGGTACACACATGGGGTCGATTTGTGGGTCAAAATTAATGAGTCACCAGGAATTGAAACGCAGGTTGCCCTTTTTCCTTTTGCCAAGCTTTGGGTGCGTAGTTTGACCCACTGCCATTTTGCAATCTCCTTCTTTTAGGGTCTTGTGTTTGTTTTTAGGGTTCTTGGTTGCAACATGGACTCTAGGTTGGCCAAGGCACAAAGGGAGGAGGCGGGTTCTCAGAATGGGCACCGTCCTGGCGAAAAAGGCCCCTATTGGGATTGGGGGAGGGGGGTGGGAGAGGGCCAGTTGGATTGGTTTCTTGGTCCCCAAATATTAGAATGGTGGGGTTCCTTTGTCAACTTTAACATTTTCAGAAAGCCTCAGCTGACCTTTCCAGTTTTGTGCCAAACCGCCTAGGCAAGCGGGGCGCGCCCCGGGTGGACATGATGCTCAACGCCCTGCAGAAGAAGATGAGGTAGCCTTCCGCACGCAAACATGGAGCGCCAAGTGATGCTTTGGGATTGAAGCCAGCAAAGTACCCAAGATGGATCAATTGTCGGATTTGCAAGTGTTCCTGCCAATACTTGTGGAATCCAAGTGAGGTTGTTCGAAGTGCGGATTCCATGTTTGAAGGGAAGGTAGTGTACATTGCTCCAGCGCCTTCAACACTGGGCCCTGTGCCTATCTCTCCAAATTTGAGAGATAGCTGCGGCATAAGACATGCCGCGGACTGCAGGGAGCCTTTCGTGCCAAGGCAGCCAGACATAATTGGCCGGGGGGGAGGGGACAGGATTAAGTTCCAGTTCAAGGTGACCCAGTTAGAAGGCATGTGCAGCAAAACAAAAGACAGATCAGCTTTTTCCCCAGCTGAAAGCTCTGGGGTCTCTGCCCAGATCCGGAGTGGTCTGGAGCAGCTGCGGGCTAGGATTCCAGAAGGGTTCCGGAAGGTTTTGGGGTTGCTTTAAAAAAAGATCTCTTATTTCGATCCCTTAGCTCAGAAAGGCGACCACTACTTTTGAGACCCGATCCAAGTCGAAGCAGGCTTAAGGCATTCTCCCAGCTGCTCGGCTCGAGCCGGCCAGCTGGCTGCGGCGCGATGGCGCACAAATCCAACCCGTACAAGAAGGCCGGGGAAGCCATGGCAAGGCGAGCTGCGAATTACTTGGCTGTGGGTCAGAACCAATGGTACCATTTTGGGGTAGGTGAATTCACCACCCATTTTAGAACCTATTTTAGTGGGGATGGGATGTTCACTGGGGGTACGGGGTTTTGACCCATGGCCACTTGCTTTTGTGAAACACCCGTAGGTTGTCATGGGCTAACAAACCAGGGGTGTCTCACTGGGTGTTAGATTGTTGTTTGAAATGGGGGACGGCCTTTTGGATGGGGTTTAAAGCAACACCAACCTCTTCCAGGGTTGCCCTACTTTGGAGGGCACTCCGTATGCTGAAGCAAACAATTCATAAGTTCACTGACTCTGGTGGGAAGAGGTGTGGCTTGACTGTTGGAGCTCAGGCTGCTGTTTGCTGACGAGTATGTTTGTGTGACTGTGCGTCTGTGTTTGCGCGTGCGTGCGCCCTACAATGTAGCAGCTGTGGAAGAGCACTGCTTGGGCTCTGGCAATTGCTGTCAACTGCTTCGCGACTTCGTTTGGCGCAGTTCGTCCTTTGCCCAGGCAAGGTCCAAGTTCCGCTGGAAGTGGAAGAAGAAGCGCACGCGCCGATTGCAAAAGAAGAGGCGCAAGATGCGCCAGCGCTCCAAGTGAAGCCAGGAAGAGTCGGGCATCTTGGCTAAGCATATGTTTGCCAGATCCTGTAGCTGTCATTTGCACCCATCCATCCCATCCATCCCATCCGTCCCATCCATCCCATCCATCCATCCATCCAATCCAATCCAATCCAATCCAATGCAATCCAATCCAATCCAATCCATCCCATCCATCCATCCATCCATCCATCCATCCATCCATCCATCCATCCATTCACCCCATTTGCACCCCCCATAATATCCTGGGAGCTGTGGCCTCAAGATCCCAACGGCCCACTGCCAGTCTCTGCTTGAGGCACTTTGATCGAGACCTGAGACCGGTGTGTTGCCTAGGACTTCGGACATCCGCGGCTTGAAGTGCGCGCCGGAAAAAAAAGGGCGGCGCGCGGGTGGTAGGTGAGTCTCTCCTTTTTTTTGGGGGGGGGGAATCTAAGGCCTATTCTAGGAGGAACATGGAGGAACACACACACACACACAAATTTGGAGGGTCCCCAAAGAGTTCAAGACAGACTAGCATGCTCCGCAGCAAGCCGAAACGATCGGATATCAACGGCTCCAGGACATTTCACTTGCGCGGCCGTCGATATCAGGTCCTTCCGTGGCGGCCTCAGTCTACTTTGTGGGACCTGATAAGGGACTCGACCGAACAGGTTTACATGCGGGGGAGCAGGGTGCAGGGCATTGTGCCCATGTCACTTCCCGTTGAAACCGGCCACCAAGAAGGACTCTGATTTTTGGACACTTGGCTGAAGCTTGCGCATGGCTGGGGAAAGAGCTCTTTTTTTTTTTGGCTGAGAAGAGCCTTTGCGAAGTCCACTGGGTTTTGATGCCTGAAGGCTTGCCTTCTTTTCCCTTAAGCAGCGGTCACATCGCCCAAAGGCTTGCCTTCTTGTCCCTCAAGCAGTGGTCATATCGATGGTCAAGAATCCAGGACCAGCTGAGACTGATGACACCCTACGAGTACTGGGACAAAGCACCCACCAGCTGTTGCCACACTCTGTGGCCTCGCGAGGCAAGGGCCCTTGAAGAACCTGACAGACCAAGATCCCCCGGAGGCGGGGCAGTGCGGCAGACGGGTCGGAAGTCAGGCGACCAAGGTCCGGCTGGTGCGAGAGATGCAGGGAATGAGCTGGACTGAACCCAGGCTTTGGTCCCCTTAAGGGAAACCTTTTTCCTTTTCGTTTCTTCTCCAGGTCATTCCATTTCAGTGCCCACCGTTTCAGTGATCGTTTTCCAGATGGAGCGCTGGTCAGGCCCGACGAGAGTTGATGAGATCGGCCCGCTGCTCAGCACGGGTGAGTTCCTTCGGCGCCCATTTGCTTGAAGCCAAGGGCTCCGATGTGATGGTTGCTGGCCGTTTGCTTTCGAGGTTATGCAGGGCTCCTTTAAAAAATCATTTTGCCTATTTGAACCATGGCTTTTTCCACCCAAACAAAGGGAACCCACCATTTACAAGGCAATGTTCAGGTGTATAATGTAAGGATCCCCGTTATGATTACGACTCACGACCCACAAGAGAACTTGTAGCCAAGTGGCCCACCAAGTCACGAGTGGCCTTTCCTGATTGTCAATTTTTTACGACCCACAGGATGCCAGTGGCTTGCCACAGTGCCGCGCATCTTGTGCTTTGCGTCCCGAAGGTGCGGACCCCGACGTCCATCCGACTTCGCCCGGATCCGGTGGACTGCGGTGGGAGCCTTGGAAAGCGGACCGCTCCTGGAGACCCGGGCGCCGAGAGGTTTTTTGAGCTAGGAGAGATGCTTGCAGGTCCTCAGGTGAAGATGAAGCGCAGACATTCTTCACATCTTTGAGTGCGCACGGCCTGACATGGAGAAATACATCCGAAAATGGGCCTGCACACTTCAGCGATGCCGGAAGATCTTGCCACTGGAGGATCCTGAAAGAAAGGGCCCCGCGGCGTGAGCAGAAGTTAAGCCAACAAGGAAATGCGTAGGGCAGGGGAATCGGAAAGTTTGGACAAGGTTTGGTTGAAAGGGCCGCGGCAACGGTTCCATGTTTTGGGCTGCCGCTGTTTGCGGGTGGCGGGTTTTTGGCATCAGGCGAAGACGGGATCGTGGCTGTGAATCTGCCGGCGCACTCAGTGCGAGATGGCCGGTTTCGTTTGGTATCGCGATCGCCAAATGACCTGTGGCATCCTCATCGCCCCAACAGATACATGTGTGTGTGTGGATTGTTTTGGGAGCAGCCGCGTTAACTGAGGTCCAAAGGCTATACATTAGAGGAGCTGCAAATCTCGCCCACAAAGTCATGTCTTGGGGATTCAATACCCAAGATGTATTTCATGAATGTCAAACTTCGTGCAATAGGCTTGAGTTTGGAGACGACAAGGACAAGTGCCTTCTTGTATGTAAGCATGGATGTTTGAGCCGCATCTGGGTTTGCAGAAGCCAACCTGCTAATTGCCGAAGCACCTGCAGGGTAAGACTTCGAGCACTTGTGAAAAAGGGGAACAACATCTAACCCCCAATAAGACTTTGACGCAGTGGCTGGTACTGCAAGGCTTTGCAGGAGTGAGCAGTGCTGAGTTTTTCCTGCAACAGCACTTCCAGCCATAGTTTTGGCGCCCTCAATACAATTGGTGCCCCCTCACTACCAAAACCGTTGAGTGTACGAACCTCTCACAACATTATTTGGGGACGTTGTCTCTCCGCCTTGCAATTTTCAACTTCAACCGGCCCCAGATTCTGACTGATTTTTGGATGGGGTCGGGTTTGGGGCAGTTCCATGTCAGCTTTTGGTATCTGGCGGTAGATATGCGATCCACCTTTTCCCAGGTGCTTCCATCCAGCCTTGAAGCAGGAGTCTTGGTCCGTTCTCGCACACAGTCCGTCCAACTTGTAGAGCTCTTGCCTGTTTTTTGTTTTTTTTCCCTTCGGAGGTTTCCGGGTTTCTGCGCCCCTCGCCGTCACTTGTCAGTTTTTCAGGAGGTTTCCGGGTTGCGCGTGGCTTGCCTCGTTCGACTGAGGGCGCGGCCCTTTGACCTGGCCAGTTCCGGGCGCACAGTGCGCGGCGCCCAGATCCGGATCCCGCGCCGGCGCGGGAAGGTCCGGCGATCGACCGGTGAATGCGGAGGGATGGTGGGTGAGCCATTTTAGCCCAGACCACCCAGTTTAAGTGGCTAAAGTGGGTGGTGCGAGCTAAAAGGAATACCAGCTGCGGATTATTTGGGCATGAGTCAATGAAGCCACGAGGGGACCGCAGGTTGTAGTCTCTGCTTGCATTTGCCAGGGTTCCAGTTGGCACGAAGCAACCCGGGTTGGATGCGATGGAACAAGACGTTGATTCAGTGCTCAAAAACCCTGGGAGGGTATGCCTTTGTCATCCCAGAGCTGGATGCCAGGGGACCGGGGTCGGAGTTCCGAGCTCACGTGCTTCACAAGTTGAGCTGGCAGCCAGATCCGCAATGCGGGGCTCACGTGTCCCATGTCTGGTGGGAAACCAAAAAGTGTTTCGACCGCGTCGAAGAGCGAAACGAGCCCGAGTGAGCGCTGGTCTTTGAGTTTCGGGCCATCCATATCGAGGGTCCGATCGCATGATTCCGATGCGGTCGTTTTGCTGACAGTGCCCTTGGAACTTCCAGCGGAAGCCAACAAAGGAAGCTGGGAGTCCCCCGGACGGATTGGCTGAACATTTCATATCTCTCGCTCTCGTCGGTGTTTGAGTGGGGTTTTCAATACGTCTTGACCCCGTCAAAACAACCCCTAAAATTGGGTGGTGTCCAGTCGACTTCCCGTCAAAACAACCCCTAAAATGGGTGGTTCAAAGCGACTTCCCGTCAAAACAACCCCTAAAATTGGGTGGTGTCCAGTCGACTTCCCGTCAAAACAACCCCAAAATGGGTGGCTTCCAATCGACTTCCCGTCAAAACAACCCCTAAAATTGGGTGGTGTCCAGTCGACTTCCCGTCAAAACAACCCCCAAAATGGGTGGTTCAAAGCGACTTCCCGTCAAAACAACCCCTAAAATTGGGTGGTGTCCAGTCGACTTCCCGTCAAAACAACCCCAAAATGCGTGATTTCCAAGCCACTTCCCGTCAAAACAACCCCTAAAATTGGGTGGTGTCCAGTCGACTTCCCGTCAAAACAACCCCAAGATGGGTGGCTTCCAATCGACTTCCCGTCAAAACAACCCCTAAAATTGGGTGGTGTCCAGTCGACTTCCCGTCAAAACAACCCCCAAAATGGGTGGTTCAAAGCGACTTCCCGTCAAAACAACCCCTAAAATTGGGTGGTGTCCAGTCGCCGTCAAAACAACCCCAAAATGCGTGATTTCCAAGCCACTTCCCGTCAAAACAACCCCTAAAATTGGGTGGTGTCCAGTCGACTTCCCGTCAAAGCAACCCCAAAATGTGTGGGTCAAAGCGGCTTCCCGTCAAAACAACCCCTAAAATTGGGTGGTGTCCAGTCGACTTCCCGTCAAAGCAACCCCAAAATGTGTTGGTCAAAGCGACTTCCCGTCAAAACAACCCCAAAATGCGTGATTTCCAAGCCACTTCCCGTCAAAACAACCCCTAAAATTGGGTGGTGTCCAGTCGACTTCCCGTCAAAGCAACCCCAAAATGTGTGGGTCAAAGCGGCTTCCCGTCAAAACAACCCCTAAAATTGGGTGGTGTCCAGTCGACTTCCCGTCAAAGCAACCCCAAAATGTGTTGGTCAAAGCGACTTCCCGTCAAAACAACCCCTAAAATTGGGTGGTGTCCAGTCGACCTCCCGTCAAAGCAACCCCAAAATGTGTGGTTCAAAGCGACTTCCCGTCAAAACAACCCCTAAAATTGGGTGGTGTCCAGCCGACTTCCCGTCAAAGCAACCCCAAAATGTGTGGGTCAAAGCGACTTCCCGTCAAAACAACCCCTAAAATTGGGTGGTGTCCACTTCGCATCAAAACAACCCCTAAAATTGGGTCCAGTCGACTTCCCGTCAAAGAAACCCCAAAATGGGTGGTTCAAAGCGACTTGCCGTCAAAACAACCCCTAAAATTGGGTGGTGTCCAGTCGACTTCCCGTCAAAACAACCCCAAAACCAACCCCTAAATTTGGGTGGCTTCCAGTCGACTTCCCGTCAAAACAACCCCAAAATGGGTGGTTCAAAGCGACTTCCCGTCAAAACAACCCCAAAATGGGTGGGTGGCTCCCAATCGACTTCCCGTCAAAACAACCCCTAAAATTGGGTGGTGTCCAGTCGACTTCCCGTCAAAACAACCCCAAAATGCGTGATTTCCAAGCGACTTCCCGTCAAAACAACCCCAAAATGGGTGGCTTCCAATCGACCTCCCGTCAAAACAGCCCCTAAACTTGGGTGGTGTCCAGTCGACTTCCCGTCAAAACAGGGTGGTTCAAAGCGACTTCCCGTCAAATCAACCCCTAAAATTGGCGTGGTGTCCAGTCGACTTCCCGTCAACACAACCCCAAAATGGGTGGTTCAAAGCGACTTCGCGTCAAAACAACCCCTAAAATTGGGTGGTGTCCAGTCGACTTCCTGTCAAAACAACCTGGTTCAAAGCGACTTCCCGTCAAAACAACCCCTAAAATTGGGTGGTGTCCAGTCGATCCCGTCAAAACAACCCCAAAATGGGTGGCTTCCAATCCACTTCCCGTCAAAACAAACCCTAAAATTGGGTGGTGTCAGTCGACTTCCCGTCAAAACAACCCCAAAATGGGTGGTTCAAAGCGACTTCCCGTCAAAACAACCTCAAAATGGGTGGCTTCCAGTCGACTTCCCGTCAAAACAACCCAAAATGGGTGGCTTCCAATCGACTTCCCGTCAAAACAACCCCTAAAATTGGGTGGTGTCCAGTCGACTTCCCGTCAAAACAACCCCAAAATGTGTGATGTCCAAGCGACTTCCCGTCAAAACAACCTCAAAATGGGTGGCTTCCAGTCGACTTCCCGTCAAAACAACCCAAAATGGGTGGCTTCCAATCGACTTCCCGTCAAAACAACCCCTAAAATTGGGTGGTGTCCAGTCGACTTCCCGTCAAAACAACCCCAAAATGTGTGATGTCCAAGCGACTTCCCGTCAAAACAACCCCAAAATGGGTGGCTTCCAGTCGACTTCCCGTCAAAACAACCCAAAATGGGTGGTTCAAAGCGACTTCCCGTCAAAACAACCCCTAAAATTGGGTGGTGTCCAGTCGACTTCCCGTCAAAACAACCCCAAAATGCGTGATTTCCAAGCCACTTCCCGTCAAAACAACCCCAAAATGGGTGGTTCAGCGACTTCCCGTCAAAACAACCCCTGGCTTCCAGTCGACTTCCCGTCAAAACAACCCCCAAAATGGGTGGTTCAAAGCGACTTCCCGTCAAAACAACCCCTAAAATTGGGTGGTGTCCAGTCGACTTCTCGTCAAAACAACCCAAAATGCGTGATTTCCAAGCGACTTCCCGTCAAAACAACCGCAAAATGGGTGGCTTCCAGTCGACTTCCCGTCAAAACAACCCCCAAAATGGGTGGCAGGCGAGCGAGTGGCAGAGAGCGCCTCCTTCGAGTGTCCTTGAGGCTGCGCGCCAGGCAGCGTGCGGCATACCACGCGGCAGAAGCGAGGCCGAAGCACGTGCGCACGCATTGGGTGGTCAAAATTGTTGAACCTTTGCATCCCCTTTACAAGACGGCACAAGGCGGCACCACAGTCCAAAAAGGAACCGGTCAGCGTCTTTCTTGTCTTTGCAAACGTGCGCGGACACACCAGTTGCCAAATCAGAGCATTTGTGAATCTTATGTGGATCCGTCCAAGCTTGTTTGCTGCCTTCTTGAGCCATGGCTGCCAGGGTGCTCACTGACCGGGGGCAGCAAGAGCTGCGCAGCCAGGCACCGAAGGGGCTACTGCACGGGCGGGCTTGAGCCGAATCAGATGGGCACTCTTCGAGGTTTAAAGGGAAGCCAAAAGGACAACGACCAATTTTTTGGGGTACTTGGGCAGAAAGGACACGCCCGGGTTGGGTGCGCGTTCCCTTTTCTCTTTTTTGTTGGGGGGGGGAGGACATTAGTGTCTGGAGCAATGTGGGTGTTTCCCCAGCAGACAGGCACCATCTTAGACGATACTTGACAGGACATCTACAGGTTCTACAAATAGTAGCTGTTGCCTTCCAAAGGTTTTGATGAACCTAACGGAAAGGCACTCGGCTGAAGTTTAGTCCAGGTGCTCCGTACACGTGGTGAGGTGCCTGAAATTCGGTACTCTCGCAGGGCAAACTCGGATTTGTTTCTTTTCAACAAGCAACCAAAGAGAAGTTCCTAAAAATGAGCGTCCCAGTTAAATGGTTGGCCACCCTCTGGTCCGCTGAGTTTGCCCTCTCAAAACCAGGTCCTCCAGCGTGGATTCCCTCGGTGCACTATACCCACCGTGTGAGGCAGCCCATTTTTGGCACTGAACATCAGGTAACCCTTTATTGCTGGCTGGGATTGGTGGTTTTGGGATTTGAGCCCTATGTTCTAGAGGGTAAATGTGACACCCAAACCACCAAACCAAGGCTGAGAACAAGCAGGTCATGCCCACACCCCGCCAGGTGACACACTTCATCGGCGGCCCCTGTGAGGAGGAGAAGGCGACGTGTTCAGCTGTGAAAAGCCGGTCCCAACATCAGTCCAAGGCAAATGGTGAAACAAGCGAGGGCAACCCCAAAAGGAACCGCCAAAAGCAATCACGCCTGCAGTTGCCTATCTACTCTGGCCAACATGTCTAGTTTGGGTCAATTCCTGAACAAAAAATGGACTGACGTCAATTTAGAACCTTCGAAGCGAAGGCAGCAAGTTGGTCCTCGCAAGAGCCAGGTGGCATGCTGTGTGGTGGCTTCGGCGTCCGGCTACAGCATCGTGCAGGCGGAGATTTCTATTCTGGGTGGGGTCCTTTGGCTGTTGTCCTGGCCTCAAAGGTCTGTGTGATTCTGCATCCGCAAGAAAGCGTGTGGGAATGCTGGGACGAGAGATAGCATCAGTAGCCAGTGTTTTCAAGACACTGTGTCATTCCAAGCTGAATGGGACTACTGCCCCCGTTCAGCGAAGCGGCACGCTCCAAGTTGCTAGGATGATGCTTGCCTGCTGGCGGGTCTATCAGCTGCAGAGGACGCAAGACCCAAAGCCCAAAGCCCAATGCATGTAGACTTGATTGTCCCCAACAAAAGTGGCTCCAAAAGCCAAATTGGCGAAACAGCCCTGCCTTGTCAGTTTTTGTGGCTGAGCCCTGCCTACGTGTGTTTTGTATCCAAACCCAACAAACTGGGGTGGTTTTCTGTAAGAATCCCCCGCCCCCCCACCCAGGGGATCAAGAAAGACATACGTTGAGCTTCTGCCAAAGGGCCAAGGCCGCCATGCCTCGGAGCGATCAACGTGTCAGTCGATGTGAAGGGTTTGGCCAACCGCAGAGCTTCCATTGGCTTCCCTTGAAGGTCCCTTTGAATGAACCAACCCAGCTTTATCCAAATCCTTTGTGCTCTATTCTTGCTCCAACATATTTTTTGAGCCAATCTTTCCAACCAAAATACAATTTTCCCACAAAAAAACAGCACCTCCACCCCCCCAAAACCCACACAACCTCCCCACCCCCCCCCAACGCCCCCGGCTCCCCCACGCGCCCCCCCCCCCCCCCTTCCCCCCTTCGCCCCCTTTCTTGCAAGGAGCTGGCCGGCGCGGCATTGTCCGAGGCCTCCGCGGAGGGTGCCGAGGCGGCCCTGCGCCTCGCGGGGGGCCTCAGCTCAGCAGCTCCCGAGGTCACCAGGGGGCTGGGGGTGAAGTGGGGGCGTCAAAGGCTTCCAGGGTTCCAAGAGCGGCAGGGGGGTAGGGGGTAGGGGGTGGGGGGTGGGGGGGAAGAGGGGTGGGGGGAAGGGGTCGGAGCAGGTTATCAGGGTGGACCAACTTGCGATGTGGTGCGGGAAGTAGTTGGAATGAGTTGGAATGAGTACCCAGGGCCAGGATCCTTTGGGCAAGTGAGTTAGAGCTTCGGGCAAGTGAGTTAGAGCTTTGGGCAAGTGAGGTCTAGGTTTGCCGTGCTCTTTTTTGGACAGAACATCTAGAAGGAACCAGAAATAGGTCCTAGCAAATGGGTTTTCGGTTTGGAACGCCAGGTTTCCTTTGGTGCGTGTTGCTTGGATGTTAGGACTTTAGCTTTTTGCCAACTAATGGGTTTTCCGTATTAACCCACTAAAAGTGAGTCACTTTTAGCAGGGCTTCGCAGATTTCGCAACCGAGCTTCGATTGTGATTCACCTGAGTTCAGTGACCCCTGGCTTTTCGGTGAGCGACACGGAAAGTCTGGCTGGAGTGCCTCTCCCGGAGGCTTCCCTGGCAAAAAAACACCCCTGTTAGGCAGGGCTCCTTAAAAGATCTCCATTTTGCGACCATTTTTTGGCCACCATTTGAAACATGCGGCTTTTTCAACAGCAAAATAGAGGGAAGCCGGCATTTACAAGTTGCAAGGATCAGGTCTTTTTCATGTAAGGATCCCTATTTGGGGTGGTTCTATCGTAGGCTGCACACCATGCTATCACGTCCAGGAAGTGCTGGAATGACCCAATCCATAGCTGGCTCCACGAAGCCGTCCAAACAGATCGATCTCATTTGGGGTTGTGTCCAAATTGAAAAGCCTCCAACATACTACCAGCTCCAAACATACGACCAACTCCAAACATACGACCAACTCCAAACATACGACCAACTCCAAACATACGACCAACATCTTGGAGTTTTTTTTTTTCCCTTGGGTTTTCCCTTCAAAGCCACCCCAAACATACTACCAACTCCAAACCGGCGATTCCCCTGCCCGAGGCTGCAGACTCGACCAACGCTGCGGATGGGGCTGCTATCCAGGCAAGCCGTTTTTGGTTTTTTGAAATGGTCTGCGACTCATGGCATGAAATTGAAGCTGGGGTTGCCCCGAGGTGGGTACTTAATTTGGTTGAGTGTCAAAATTGGGGGAGCCACAAACATTACTTTTCTTTTCTTGTGGTTTCCGCTTGAGAGAACGGCTAAGCTGTCTAATCCAGAGATATGTCTTCGGTGCTTTCGCGTTGATATAGTGAAACCCTTGCAGCCATTCGCCCACGTTCCCAGGACCAAAGGCAACACGGGAAACATCTGGGCATGTTCTTGTTGAGAATACCCTTTTCATCCTGGTTCAAATGAGCGAGCGGCAAAACCTAAACCTACTTTGGGGGGGTTCGAGCAGGAAGTTCTCGTTTTTGGGGTTTCACTATGTCGGTCTCCAATGTTTCAGACATGGCCGTGCAAGGGTATCGGTTTTGATCTCTCAGCAAAAGTAAGCAGGGCTCGCTTAAGCTGTGGATTCGTGAAGTGCTCATTTGGATGTACTAATTTCTGAATGTATGCTTCACAGGTGACCATAGACGGAGCTCTGCAGGGTCTATACTGCTTTGGTCAATTGATATTGATTGGTTTCTTGGTCTGGGTCAATCTATGAACGGCGCCTGATGCAAAAGCGCAATTCCTATATAGTAAGCTTAGGCAACCAATCCCCTGAGAATCTCACGAGCGCAGTGGTTGGAGGATGCACCTTAGGCAGCCAGGACTGAGACATAGGGTGGACAAAAACAGTTGGGATGGACGAACGACCCAACATGCAGCACACCATGATGATAATGATGATGGTGATGAAGAAGAAGAAGAAGAAGAGTAAGATGATGATGATGATGATGATGATGATGATGATGATGATGATGATGATGATGATGATGATGATGATGATGATGATGATGGTGATGGTGATGGTGATGGTGATTATGATGATGATGATGATGATGGTGATGATGGTGATGATGGTGATGACGATGATGTCGATGCTGCTGATCGCTGATTGTGATGCTGATGATGATGACGATGATGATGATGATGATGATGATGATGACGCTGCCAACGACGACGACGACGACGACGACGACGACGACGACGACGACGACGACGACGACGACGACGACGACGACGACACGGCGACGACGACGACGACGACGACGACGACGACGACGACGACGATGATGATGATGATGATGAGGATGATGATGATGATGATGATGATGATGATGATGCTGACTCATGCCAGATGATGGCACTGAGTGAGATGGTTGCTTTTCAATGAACCACTCAAGATGCGGGAGCCTCAATCTAGAAGAAGCACTGGCCAGGAATGAGGTGTTTCTTCTGAGGATACGCTTTTGGACCCTAAAGGCACAACAAAGACCCTGATTTGGCAAAGTCAAGGGAAGCTAGGTGGCGATCAGAATGTGACAGCCGAACCTGTAGGGTTGACCTTGTCGCACGTAGATGGCGCACATGTTTAATTCTTTGACGAGCGCGGGGGGACCAGTCCAACAGTGGGCTGTTCCAAATCAATCCTCAATCCTTGTGCCAGATGGCAATGGTTTTCCGATTCCAGATCCAGCATCGATCCCCGGCCCATTTTGAACCACCCAGAAACTTTTCAGGGAAAGTTTTTGGGAAGGCTTCGCTCCACCCATAAACTTTTCAGGGCACGCTTTCGGGAAACCAAACGCTGGAAGTTCCTTTCGCAGGAGAACTCCGTGCCGAAGCGGCGGCGATTGGTGCTGAGCCGGTCTCAGTTGTCTTCCGCGGCCTCCCCCGCGAGCTGTGAGGAGCGGGGGGAGTGGACGGAGCCTTTGACCGGGGTCGTCCGCAGATGGCTGTGGGTCAAAAATGGGGTGACCCCAGAATGGCTTGCCCTGGTAAATGGAGACAAAAACTAAACCGCGTAACCCTAGCTCCTTAATTTTGAGCCACACCCAGATGAGTGTGTCTCTGAATGGTGGACTCCTCTTTTGGGTCGCAATCTGAAGGCACACCAAAAGGAAAAGCAACATTTTTGGGGGACCGTGGTTGTGATGTAAAGGCAAACCCAAAGGAAAAGCAACAATTGTAGCAGACCGCTATTTTGAGACCCCCTCCCCCCCCGTCACACTCATACGAGCCATGGTCCATGTTCGAAACACTGGTGAAGCGTTGACCGATCATGTTGCGCCACCCTGTTTAGAAAAGGCCCGCCACTGTAGGGATTTGGAGTGGTTCTGAAGAGGCATAAGAGTGCGAAGTGTCTGGAACTCAAATTAACGCCTTGTTCGAACCAATGGATGACCTCACCCTGATTAATTCCCAGTTCTTTTCACATATTGTTGGCGTACATGATATACATTTCCTTGGTGTCTCAAATGAAGCCTACTTCCATCAAGACTCCACGTCTGATACCTGGGCACCCTGGAAAAGTACCTCTTGCGAGGAGTTGTCTGAACATTTTGCCCTGGCGAAATCGGACGGGTTCCTGGAAAGCTGCACAGTGCCGCAATCACATGCGGAGGAGTCATGTCCGTGAATTGGCTTTGGCATCAAAAGGTGTGGGTCAAGGGCCTTCTGGCAACAGATTGCAGAGTTGAAACTCGGGGCTGGCCGAACAGCAACTTTACCAGCACAAAACGGTTTTTTGAAGCTGGACTAGGGAGGTGGATGGCCAAGGTGATCCCTTCGAAGAAGATAAAGTAGTCATGGATGGATGGGGATCAACCACCAAGCGGTGGCACAGATACCCTCCCGCCAACTAACATGGAAGTGCAAAAAGGCACTTTCCAAGAGGAAAAGTCGTCTTTCTACAGGGGTCCGTGCACTTCCATGTTAGCTGGTGGGAGGATATATCAGTGCTCCGTTACAGGCTTGTCTTTGATATCACAGCCATCCTCGCGAGTGCTTCCACGACACGTGCAGGCCGGGCCGGACGGCAACTCGCCGGCGCCTGAGGGCATGGGATGGCACGACACAAAAGGAAGCAGATGGACTGGAACTTAAGGCGGCTTTGATTCTTCTCACCTTGTCCTTTGACAGTGTGAGAGAAAAGGCATACACACATGTATATATATGTATATATATATATAGATGCATGCATATATATATATATATACACATATGGTCAGACGCCCCCGTATATTTGTATATATATATATATATATGTATATATATATATATATATACATGGTGGAGTTGTTCGTCTTTCAAGCCCGTTGAGTCGCTTCCTCCGTGCACGCCTGCGCGTTTACGCAGGCACGCGGAGGCCATGCGTGCCTAGGCCTGTCCGTGTCTTCGTGTACTGGGGCTATGCCGGCTGGAGCCCTGCTCAGACTTCCTCGCCTCCGGGGCTTCCTGCTCATACTCCTTTTCATGGTTGTTGTTGAGACACATTTTTCCCATTTTGGCTTATTGTGGTTTAGTGGTTGAAATCCAACCACTAAACTGCAAAAAAAAAAATGCGCCCCTCCCAACGTCAACCAAGTTGTGGTTGGTCGAAAGGGGGCCCCCCCCCGTCTTTTTGCCAGTCGAAAGAGCCTTTTTTCTTCAGGTGGAGTAGCCTCACTCTTGCGTCGTGGCACCTGGCAGCTCCAACGTTCGTGGAAGGGAGGGTAATGTTTAAGGGGGAACGGAGCCGATGCGTGACCTATAATATAGGGAGCCCGGGGAAGTCTCTGGTAAGGCCCTAATTCCCACAGGCGTTTTCCCGATTCGGGGGCCCGGAATCGGTAGAGGAACGCCACTTTCGGATGGATCCCTCTCAACCGCATGGCACAAGGGAGGCATGCATCCCAGCTGGCTCCTGGTTTCCGTCTGCAAATAGGCTGTGCCAATGATAGGCAGCACCTACAGAACCTAAAGTTGCATACCAGCTACACGCCCAGGAGTCGCTGCCAACTGATGGGGGAAATCGCCCGAGGCGCGGGGGCGCTCGCATCCTTTCGTTGTCTCTCTCTCTCTCTCTCTCTTTCTCTCTCTTTTTCTCTTTCTCTTTCTTTTTTTCTTCATTTTCTCCTTCTCTCTCTCTCTCTCTCTGTCTCGCGCTCTGTTTGCCTTTGTTCTCTTTCTTTGCTCGTTTGTGTACCTTTGGTCTTCCGAGCCCAACGCCTGCTCTGGATGGTGATTGCTACTTTGGATTTATACACCCCCCGACTGAAAACGAGCCAGGGATCTCCCTTCGGTTGGTTTTGAAAAAGGTTGATGGTTTCAACGTGCTGACATTCTTCAGAATGCCGAGCTGACTGCGGCACAGTCTTACAAGCTGAAGGCGAGTCGGTAAATGTGAATGTTGTGTGAACCGTCAATTTCTCGAGTTTGACGTCATGGCAGGGCTTTATAGGGATTCACACCACATGTGCACACCTTGAAGGCCCATACCAGAGGTTCACTTAGAATGGGATGCTCAAACATGGGGGTGTTTTTATTTGATGGTGCCGATTTCGGGCTTGTTTTGCAAGCAATTCCGAGCGGCTCCCGTGTTTGGGTTCCTCAGCCTTCCATGTGGAGCCGAGTGCTTGCAGCGCATTTTGCTGCGTGCAGGCAGCTGGGGACTTTGCAAGGCGGACACGCAGGATGTGGTCTCCAAACGGCCGGACGAGGTGCCTTTCGGAGGGTAGGTCACCTCTTGGTGAGAAGGCGATCATACCCCAAGTCGTCCGTGGTTATTATTTTTGCACCCCATACATGAAAGAATCCTTCGTCTTAAAACCGGTTTGGTGTTTAGGCGGGTTCAGGCTGAAATAAGCCGGACGTGCAGGAGTTGACAAGTCAGGGACAAACCTCCCGGGCTATTGGAACAGCCCGGTAAAAAAGCAAAAGGCCCGTTTGTGGGATCCGCCAGGTCGCCAAGAGGATCCCAAACAGCGGTCAAGCGGACGCATTTTCGGTTCATGCGCACGCAGAATGGGGCCTAGTTGGCGCAACAAGGCAGGTCAAGAGCCACGCGTTTTTAGGTGCCATAACGTCCTATATTATAGTTGAACCCCAACCAGTAGCAAACTAGACTATTTTCGCTTGCAGATGGGTAATTAAGAGACTTTTCAATGGTCAGCGACGGTGGCCAATTTTGGCGTGATCGCACTGCGCCAGGTGTGGCAATCGGTTTATCCTCGGCTTGTCTTTGCCCCGAAAAGCGCCGCTTGGCAAGCGGAAGACGGGCGATGGAAACCCAGTCGGCTCTCGCAGGAGGTTTCTCATAGAGCCACCTAAAATGTTCGTGAAACCATTCGGGTGCCTCGCTAAATCAAGCCTTGAAGATTGCGCTTTCAGATACCCTCCTGTCCAACGTGGAATTTCAGTTTTCGGTGTCCTGGCTTGGATGATTCTTCTTTGAAGGCCCTCCGGTGGGTTCCATGGTGGACAGGAGAGTACCGTTTTGAGTCTGAGAACCGGTGCAATGCTTCGATTTGTGTGGCAGTGCTGACAAGGAGATGAGCGAAGCCTACGGCGGCCTGATCTGGCATGGTTTTTCACCTGGGCAGTGGGGAGGTGCGGTGAACACCTAGCATCCGTGTGGGAGGTGAGCAACGCACAAAAATTGTTTTGTCACCTACTGATGGTCTGTTGTCAGTTTAGGGGATCCAAGTTTCTTTGGGTGCCCACCCAACTTTCCTATGTTTTTGTGGAATCAAGTCACTTTGACAAGGTTGCTCGACCATCAGCGAGACGGGATGAGTTTTGTTCCGTGGCTCTCATGTTGTCCCCCAGTTCTGTTTGGTTTGACGTCTGGACTGTTCTGCCAGGTGAGTCGCCTGAAGAAGAGAGGAGACAGCAGTTGCCATCCCCTGAGCTCCGGGGGATTTGGGCTGGCCATCGAGCGCTCCTCTTTCACTTGAGCAAGTCAGTGCGAACGGGGACGTTTCGGTTTTGATTTATCCACTTCCGGCGACCGGAGTGCAACTTGGAGCATCGCAGGGTAATGTGAAGGACACCGGGGTTTTCGGAAGGTCCGGTTTTGCATAGCTGCCAACCTGACTCTAAATACGCTCAGCAACCACTGTACACGTGGCACAGACCCCCGCCTTACTTTCAGGAGCTCGGCTACGGGTGCTTGCAAGGCTTATCTAGGCTTCCTGAATCTGCACAAGTAACACCATGGCCTTGTTTCGACTGAATCCCAACAAGTCTACCAAGACCTCGGTGTGCCAGGTTTCCATGTACGATTCTCCGCACGTTGGCCCACCTACCAGGGAGAGAGAGAGTTTGTTGGAGAAGGAGCCGGGTAGCTGACTTAGTGACGGGGTCCCCATCCAGATGTTGATTTCCTTTTGTGTTCCCTGTAAAGTCCATCTTCAGAGAGGGACCCTGTTTGGTTTTCCTTTGGCAGGGCTGCTATGAGCCTCTGAACTTGACAAAAGGCACAAGGGAAGAACTGCTTTGGGTATATGCCTTAACTTGCCCTTTCCAAGGGGTCAATCTTCTCCCCTCGTGCTCTTTGGGACAACCCCCTTTTCTGGCAGAACATGTTCTTTTTTGGGTTCCTTGGGGCAACAAATTTGCGGACCCGTTCGGGTTTTCCGTTTTTCCGTTTTTCCCCCGTCGCGCCGCTTTGTCGCGTCGGCCTGGCTGAGGCGGCGCATGGCCATCATCCACGACCTGCTGACAGGGCGCCAGGGCAGAGCCCGCGGCTCAGCCTCTGAAGCCTTCGGGGGGCGAGGAGGTGAGGCGAGAACGGTTTGGACTTGGAACCATGTTGAACCACTTAACCATTGGATCCCTGTGGATGGTTGCGAAGTCCATTTTGCGGCACCTTGAACCCATGGTTGAAACCATTGTTGGTATTTTACAGGGGAGTCATCATTCCAGGCTTTCTTAGGCGGTGCAGGATTTCGTCCATCCACAGTATGTATAGGAATTCCTTGCCAAATAGGTTTTTAATTGGAATCCACCTAGAGTCTATATAGAGTTTAGTAAGTGATTAAGTGAAATGGAATTTGCACGTCTTTGGGAATTCCTTTCCAACGAGACGTTTGATTTCACTTCAGTTGGATTTCCAAGATGGTTTAAAATGGACAGAATCTAATTCCACATAGAACTTTAATAGAATTGTTTGATGCACAAAAGAACTTCCAAGCGAACTAGAAATCAAATAAGGGTATGCTCCAGCAAAGCTCGATAGCGGACGTTTCGAACCAAAAATGCGCCTATAGAAAATGAACTGTTTTCGTGGAGCGTCTTTTCTCTTCTCTGCTTTCTCTTCTCTGAGCACTCCGCGTCTTTTCTTTTCTTTCTTCTTCTCTTCCTCTTCTTCTTTCTCTTCTCTTTCTCTTCGACTTTCTCTTCCTCTCGTTTTTTCATGTTTCTCTTTCTCTTTCTCTTTCTATTCTCTTTCTCTTCCTCTTGTTCTTCTTTTTGCTCTTTCTATTTCTCCTTCTCTTTCTATTCTCTCTTCTCTCTTCTCTCTTCTCTCTCTCTCTCTCTCCCTCTCTCTCTCTCTCTCTTCTCTCTTCTCTCTCTTCCTCTTCTTTCACTCTGTCCTTCCTCTTGCTCTTTATCTTTCACTTTCTCTTTCTCTTGTTCTCTTCCCTTCTCTTTCTCATTCCCTTCTTTCTTTACCGTTCTTTCTTTCTTCTTTTTGTCTTTCGTTCTTTCCTTCTTTCTTTCTTTCTTGCTTGCTTTACTGCTTGCTTGCTTTCTTTCTTTTTTCCTCTCTCTCTCTCTCTCGCTCTTTTCCTCTTTCTTTCTTTTATTGTCCTTCTTGCTGTCTTTCTTTCTTTCTTTATTTCTTTCTTTCTTTCTTTCTTTCTTTCTTTATTTATTTATTTCTTTCTTTCTTTCTGTCTTTCTTTGTTTCTCTCTCTCTCTCTCGTTATGTTTCTCTTTCTTTCTTTTATGTTCTTTCTTTCGTTCTTTCGTTCTTTCTTTCTTATCTTCCAACTTGGATCATGTTTAGTAAGTAGTTTATGGTTATGGGTATGAGGGTGCTAATCACAAATTCATCCTATAACCATCGTGATACCCTACTTACCTGGGTCCAATGTTCATTCGAGGTTTCGGGGGTTGCCGCAGGTGACTGGGTGGATTTCATGACCACCCCATTTTGCGGGACTGGGTGTTTCTCAAAATAGGAAAAGGGGGTTCACCATTCTGAGAAGCACGGGTCATGGTCGTGGATAGGAACGCTTACAGTTGAGATGTTCAATTCACATTGCTCGACCCACGCAAAGAACTTGATGGGGCGTTTCGCGTCACCGAGGTACCAAACGCTAAGTTGTCGGTGCAGGTTTTTTTTGGCGGATACCATGGGTACTCTTTTTTGCCTTGGATTGACTGGGAATCCAGACGGAAAAGTCGGGTGGAAGCTGGGGACGAGAGAGCTGGCTGCGGCCTTTCCCCTCGATCCTCCAACCCACATGAGTGACCGCATCTCGCAACTCGCTGAGGACGAGGAGGCGGTGGCCGAAGAAGCGGAGGATCGGGGCAGTTGGGTAGGTTGGGAAGTATGTCCACCGCCCCACTAAAGAATCTATAGCTAGCTCCCAAAAAGCAGGCTTGCATGGGTGTGTATATGGCGGGAACCCAAGTTTGGTGATCTTCCCAGGGGTTTCCCTTTGAAACCCGCAGCGACCCTTGGGGATCCCCCTCTCGCCGCCTTGTGCTAGGTGCTTGGAGGGTGCCAGGTCGTTGTTCAGAGACCCCAAGGTCGACAATTGGAAACCGTTTTTGGGTTTCCCTTTACCAGGGCCAAGCTTTTGATGCTTGTGCCAATGGCAATGGAAGTGGGGGTCTTTGGGCCTTTTGGAGAGGGTTGTCTTGCAACACGCTCCGCTTCCCTGATGAACCGAATCCTCCTGGCTGGGACCCTGGAACGTGCAATTTCCCTGACGCCACTCGCCCACTTGCTGGTCTCAGGACCCTGCTCCGGAGCGGGCGGCCGGGGACCCGAGTTCTTCTCGCGATCGGTGCCAGAAGTGGGCCCACTGCTGGTGGGTTGGATCTTTAGACTTTAACTTTCTGGATTCCCCTCATATTCCTTTTAACCAGCAAAAAGTTTAACTTTTTTCTGGGGGATCTACAGCACCCAACTAAGGCATGATGGAATGAATTTGGTCCCGAAGAAAGGAAACCGCAAGGGGACGGTTGGATGAACCCAGGGCCAGGCTTTTGGTTGCCGAGTGAAGGAAACCAGTTGGATGGTTTATTGACGGGTCGTTCCATTTCTCATTCCCTGCCTATCGCACCAGTAAGTTTAGGGGGATGTCATACCAAACCTCAAGGTTGAAACGTTTGGCAATGGATCAACCAACCACTTAGTTTGGGGTTGTCTCCCAATGGGGCGGTGTCCGTTTCAAAACAATCACCGAGGGCAGTACACACGGGAAACAAGACGCAGCGGGTATGTGTCGGTACCTGTGAATAGGAGAGAGCGCTTCCTCCTTGTCTGCCAGACTGCCAGTGGCAACTGATGTTGGTCCATCTTGTCACCGGCATCCCCACGCCGACCTTGAAAGTGCTGACTAATTAGCAATAAATTTCCTGACATCATGATGTGTGGTGGATTCCCAATGTTTGGGCAGCCATCCTCCCGGGAGCATGCAGCCATGTGAAAGGAGCTCAACCAGCAGGGAGAGATTCAGACTTGTAGCTCGGCATGGCAACGCCTTCCGACTGGAGAAAAAGTTGAGCCTGATTCCGGCTGCCTCAAGCAAAACCCCGGGGCAAAATCAAAGAAGGTTTCTGAGGGACAGCCCCAGCCCATGCGGAGATCAGTCCCGACTTCTGTGGGTTTCGACGGTCCCAAGCTAAAAACTTTGCATGGCTTTGGGTCTCGGCAGCTGGAGGTTTTGACTCGCTTCACCGGATCGGATGTCCGAGGCCCTGGCACAAGAGCTGGAGGCCGCAGATGCGGATGCAGAGGAGGCCGAGGCCAAGGGCGGCTTCGAAGGGGTTGGGTGGGTGGGTGGGTGGGTGGTTGGTTGGGTGGTTGGGTGGTTGGGTGGTTGGGTGGTTGGGTGGTTGGGTGGTTGGGTGGTGGGGGGTTGGTTGGGGGGGTTGGTTTGGTTGGTTTGGGCGGCACGTGGCGCGAATCGAAGTTTTAATGGTGTTTTGTTGGGTGGAAGTGGGATAGTGGCCTTTCATTTTGCAGGATCCGAGGTTTTTCTAGGCAGCTGAGTTGTGGCAGGAAAGCGCAGCAGTCACGGACAGCGACGAGGTAAGTGGCGAGGAAGAGGAGAACAAAGGGCGTGGCTGCACAGCATGAGGCCATATGGCCCGTTTTTGCCGTGGGGTTTCCTAGACCGGTCAATCACCATTGGTTTCTATTTTGTTTTCATTTGGGCCGTGTTGCGGTGGTTTGTGCTGCCGGCCGTGTGATTCTACCTGCCGGCCATTCACGAATTGATGCAGAGGAAGCCCAGGTGCATGTCTCACACCGTGTCAAGGCCATTTAGTTGGCACGGCCTTGGGCTTGAGGCCTCGTCGCGACGGGGAGGGGCACATGTTTGTTCTTCAGTGTGTGTGTGTGTGTGTGGGTGTGTGCGCGAGCACAAACATACCAGACGGGCCAGTTTGGGCCCATGTTTGCTTGGCATGGGCGGCCTTGATGAGGGAAAAGAGCAGAATCTCAGGAAGCACGGAAGCACATCTTACCTCTTAAAAAACACAACTGTTCAACTTGTTTGGTAACATGGGCTATATGTCTGTAAAAGATGAACTTCCCCAGGGCTTGGAGTTTTAAGGGGTAAGACATGAAACAACTAGAGGTCCCGAAGCGGTGGTTCCAGCGGGGCGGGTTTTCATAGAGCGCCTTCCAGGACACCGCGTCTGCTCCTGCCGAGGCAAGGCCGCAGGGCTTCAGAAGGGACTAGCAACAACAGCAACTCGCATCGACTTGCCGGTGCCATAGGCAGAGAATGAGAAATGGAATGACTTGTCTGCTTACAAGCCGTCCCCTATAATTTCCTTTAAGGTGACCCTGGGCTCATTCCCACATTCCCTGCTGAGGACCAGCAAGTTGAGCAATGTTCTAAGCTTTTGACGTATGTTGACGCCACCTTGATGCTTTCTGCTTTGTGTTCCGAGCCAGGAATGAGGAGCTTGTCACGTCGTGGGCAAGGCTGCAAGATGGGCGGCCGGAGTCCTTGCGTTCCGGATCAAGATTCAAGTTTGTGGGCAATCCATGCTCATGTTCCGGACCCACTTTCAGCCTTGCCAGCTTTGCAAGCGCTGCAACAAGACAGTGTTCCCCGTGATACCGCCGGTATCGGCCAACTTCCGCGGCCTTTCAAAAGAACGAGTAAGGGGGCGCGCCCAGAACATCGAATGGTCGTTGAGTGACATGGCACCGCTTTTGGGGCTTGTTTCAGAGGGAGACCAGAAGAAATCCATGGGATCCCCTTGAGTCACGCCCAGCCGTTTCCGGGATCTGTTTCCGGCTCTGGCCGACGCACGGCTGATCCCAGTCTGAGCAACCTGCTTTGAATCGCCTCGCAAGCGCAAGCGCACCCCGCGCGACATGCGCCGGGCACATGTACATACGGGGAATCTGAAAGCTGAGGGAGAGAAAAGCCGAAAATTCTCATCGCCCATGCAAAATGTCGCTGGAATTGATCCAGATCCCCTCAAATCAGCTTCCCAGGTGCATTTCTTTACGGAGTGAGACTCCAGGACTCCAGTGCCGGTGCCTGCAAATCTGCCCGGTGCGCACCTTGCGTGAAGGTGCATGGAGTCGGAGCCGGTCTGTAAGATGATCTCTTGATGTTTGCTTTTTCTTTTCGCGGGTGCACTAGCTGAAGAAAACTGCCTTGATCTTTGTGTAGATTCTCTGGAAACGCTTGTTTAAACTCGACAATGCTCGGTTTGTGTAGGTGCTGAGCGGCTTTAGCTCAGGAACATGATATGACATCCCAGCAGGGCAGAGTCAGGAAAGACCGCATGATTGCTGTGCAGGTGAGGTCCATTAGAACACCCCAAGGGAAGCGAGGGAAGCTTCCAACCCAAACCTTACGCACAGCCTTTGCTTCCCTTCTGTTGTTTGGGATGTGATGCATGTTAGGGGGTTGGAGGGGGGGGGGGGTTAAGCAGACCTCAGGTGAGCAAAAGCAGACATTGAGCAGCAAGTGATTCGTCTCAGTCAGGCAAACTGCACAGCAATGGCTCGCACCGCTGCACACTCAGGATGCGCTGGTGCCAGGAATTCAGGAGAGGATGCGACTCACCGCTTTAGACACGGACCCAGAACAAAACAACATCTCAGGTCTCAGGCTGACTTAAATGGACATTTGCTGGCTCGGGGCTGGGCTTGTTAGACGGGCATTGTGTGCAATGCCATGGCCGGGGCGGTCAAGTGCTCCGTGCAGCCAAGTCTGGGTCTGAGGGGAAGGTCTTGCGAGAGAATTGGCCAGACCGGGTGGGTACGGGTCAAAACGGACCGCAGGTGAGTCCTTGGTTCCATTTCCCAGGGCAAGCCATTTTGGACGGCCATTTTTGAGCCACAGTGAGCCAGGACTTTGTCCAAATGTGAATGACGCGGGCCACTCTCTGCCGCCTGGGACCTGCAGAAGTTGGCTTCGTGTGGCTGTGGTTGTCAAAAATGCGGTCACCCCAAAATGGCTTGCCCTGGTGAATGGAACCAAAGACTAAAACTAAAACATGCGGTCCATGTCCTGGTGGTTTTATTTTGACTCATACCCATGTTGGTATCCCCACCAGCTTTTGAGAGAGATCCACGGCACTGGATGTACAGAGCTGGGCCCCCCCCGCGCGGCTCGGGTCGCGTGGCACTTTCTTAGGCGCGGAAGCCGTGCGTTGCAGCACCGACCCTCCGCAGCCGATCGGCAAAACGGCAGCCCAGGCGAGGGGACGAGCCGCGGGCTTTGCTGGGTGAATCATAACGACCTCACACGACCTCACCCCAAATGGTGGCTTATGTGGGGATAGCCCCCCAACCGCCTTATTTCAGGTGGGTGAAATATTATAATTCACCCAGAAGCATGCGACCTGAGGATGAAATCTCATAGGGGAACATGGTCTGGACTGCGCCTGGGTCAGCTCCAATCTTTGTCGGCCCCAAAAAACCGCGGCCACAGCTTCCTGCTCTCAGGTCAGACCGAGCCCGGGTGTCAACGGTGCCCTGAGAATTTGGGGGCTGCCGGTGAAGTGGGCGTCCCTGGTGCTGCTGACCTTCGTCACCACCTGGACCATCTTCGCCATCAAGCTGGCGCGCAGGAGCTCCCAGACCTACCTGAACTCCTCGGTGGTCTTGGTGTCCGAGCTCCTGAAGTTTGGGTTCAGCTTCTCGCGCCCGGGACGGACAAAAAAAACATCGACGGCGACTGGCGAGCTTTTACTTTGAACAAGCCTCCGTTGACCTTCCAGACAAGCATGAGTGCTTGAAGAGCTGGTTCCCCTTGTCCAATCCCGCCCCTTCAGTTCTCTTTGGGGCTGCGGGGCTTTCACCAGTCCTTGTCGCACGCCTCCCGACTCGGAGCTCGGAGGTTTCTGGCGCTGGAGACAAAGAGCTTCGGCCTGGCGCGGCGCGCGCTGTGGGTGGAGTGCCGGTACCACTTCCTGGCCATGCTGAAGCTCGGCGTGCCGGGGCTGGCCTACACGCGCCCCGGTTCCAAGGGTAGGCGAAGCGAGCCAAAGCTAGGGGCGGCTTGGGCTTGGTTTTTGGTCCTTTTCGGTTTGAGCTAACTCGCCTTGCAAGATGTGCTGCGGGGGGCGGGGGGGGGGGGGAATTTGTTTCTCTTCGGTTTGAGCCAACTCACCTTCCAGCCATGTCCAGCCGTCCGCATATGGCCGTTTTCGAGTTAACAAGGATTGCCTTGACTGGCCAGCCCAGAGCCCAGGATTCAGAACAACCTTATCTTCCTGTCGGTGGATCTATTGAGCGCAGCAGTGCAGCAGGTGACATACCAGCTGAAGACACTTGCCTGAATCCTACCGTGGATGGACGAAAACCATTTTGCACCAGGGGAATAGTCGTTCAGGGTTGCTTAGGTGGTGCGAAATGGATTTGTCCGTCAGTCTGAAAACACTGCAACCTGGGATCAATGACTCGCTCGCGAAGCATTGCCCCCCCCAAAAAGTGCGGGTTTCCGCACTTGCGCGCTTTGGGTCCGGTCACTGGACTGGACCCTCACTTTTCTTCGAGTGGACGGGGTGTGAAGTAGACTTTGGGAGCCGGCTCCTGCGGGCAGAGTTGTGATCCACCAAATGAAAGGCGGCTACAAAGGGCTGCTAGAAGCTGGGATGTGGCTGTGCTGCTTTCAAGCACAGTGCAGCACAGATCCAAGGCAAGTCTTGCAAACGAAAGCCGCACTCTTGGGGCTTCGGGGCCGGGCGCTTGTCCACTCGGTGCGAGGATCCTGACCGCGGCATTGCTCAGCGTGTTGATGCTGGGCCGGACGGTGGGCGTGAAGAAGTGGGTGGCGCTCTTCGTGCTGGTGGCGGGGGTGATGCTCGTGCAAGTGCCCCGGGACCTTTCTGACGGCGTGCCTCGGCCTCAAGTCGGTGGGACCGATGGTTTTTCGGCGCGGAGGGGCCGATGGATGAAGAAGCGAAAGGTGTCTCTCACTCTCACGGGGAGCCGAAAGGGGATCTAAGAGACGGGTTCCAGCACAGTCATGCGTGTAGCATCCTGGAACCCATTTGTCAGTTGCCATTTAGGCACACCAGTAGTTTTGCGCAGGCGGTTTGACTGCCAGCCCTCATTCATGAAGTTCTCGCAAGACAGATGGATCGCGTTTCATGGGCTGAGCCATCTAAGTGACTCTTAGCCCCACAGACTTCTTTGTTTGAAGAGGATCTTGGCCCCGCCCTTTTGATACGTGTGGAAACCTATGGTGCGCAGGTCTTGGGATATACGTTTTGCCATGAAACTCACATAGTTCCAGCGCACCCAGACGGAAATAAACCGTTTGTCAACCGCCCAGCAATCATCTCCCCCCTTCTTGGCACCTTCGTCGAAGGCGCCGAATCGAATTCGATTCGCGGCTTCGCGGGCCTTGAGGCCATGGCGGAACGGTCCGCCTGGGCTGTGGGCCGGGGGCTGGTCGGCTTCCTGGCGGCGCTGGGGGCCTGCTTTGCCAGCGGCTTCGGGGGCGCAGCCCGGCCGGGAGAGGAAGTGGCTGTGGGTCAAAACCAAGAAGATCCCATTTTGGGGTACACCCATTTTGGAGCCTATTTTAGTGGGGATTGGGATGTTCACTGGGGGTACGGGATGTTGACCCATGGCCAAGTGACAGATCGAAGGAATGACCTTCGTCGCACATGGCTTGAGAGGCACATGGCCCCACTCGGCTTGGTGAAAGCTGCTGGGGGGGCTTCAGCTTACAGGTAGGGGCTTGCCGGTGAAAGCTGCCGGGGGGTTCAGCTTACAGGTTGGGGCTTGCCGGTGAAAGCTGGCGGGGGGTTAGTTGGCGGGGGGTTCAGCTTGCAGGTAGGGGCTTGCCGGTGAAAGCTGCCGGAGAAACACCTTTTTTCTCCATATTATTTCCCTTTGGCTTACTTTAGACAGGAAGACACATGAGCCATAATCAAAACGGGTTCTTCTTCGTTTGTTGGGTTTTGATTCCTGGGCAAAGTCCCGGATGACACGACAGACAGAATCGCTATCTCTAGCCACAATCAAAAACTGCGGTAGATGAAGGTGAGTAAGGGACAATCCCAACCATAAATAGCTGCGGATATCCGCCTTTTTCATTCTCGAAGCATGGTTCTGGGCGCACCATTTTTGTACCGGGTTTTCACTCAGGAACAACAACAAACCCCGTTTTGGGTTTTTCTCCAAGTATTTTCCTTTTGGCGTGTTTCTTTCGTTCCCAGATGTTTTTTCTCCTCTGTTGGCTGATTTTTTTTTGGCAGGAAGAGACGAAAAAGCGTGAGGTCTACATGGAGATGGTGCTGAAGGGTTCGGGCACCTCCATCTGGCTCCGCAACGCCCAGCTGGCGGTCTTCGGGGCTGTGACGGCCCTGGCCGGGGTGGTGTCCCAGGATCTCCCCAAACTGCGCCAGGCGGGGGGTGCGAGCATGTGGGTTGGTTTGGTGGGTGGGTGGGTTTGTTTGGTTGGTGGGTGGATTGGTGGGTGGGTCGGTGGGTCGGTTGGTTGGTTGGTTTGGGTGGGTGGGTTGGCTTGGTGCGTTGGTGGGTGGGTAGGTAGTGGCTTGGTTTGGCTCGGTTTGGCTTGGCTTGGCTGGGCAGATTTGGACTGCATTGCTTGGGGCTGGTTCGTAGAAGCTGTCTCAGGCCGTCTCTGAGAGGGATTGGATGGATGCCTTGGGCTGAACTACGTGTGTTGAAGAAGTTCACCTGGGAGGATTCTGGGTTGATGCGGGGCTGACTTTTGGAGTAGCTGAATTTGCAGGGGTCTAGATTTTCTTCAGGGTGGGGTTAATTGCAGTGTGCGTGACAGTTTGGAGAGAGCATTGTGTTTACCTTTCGGGTGAGTAGTTACCCCTCCTTCACAAGGGCCCTTCTAGGAGGAAGCTCGTTTCCAAGGGTCTCTTGCAGGTTCCCTGCTTGTCTCAGGGGTATGTCTCTAAGGGTTTTGGTATCACACCCTGGGAATACACCCACTGGGTATTGACTCCATTTACGCACATGTCGGGCTAAACCGCGTTGGTTTGAACCATTCTGGGTCATTTCCCAAGGGTGTAATCCCAGTAATACAACAACCCCCAGCTGGGCGCAATCCATGTCGCACCACTTGGAAACCAATCCGAAGCCACCGTTTGTTTGGTATTTCCCGGGGAATCGAGTCAGAAGCCCAGGGGTTTTCCTGAACGGTGCTGCGCACGGATCTTTCCCGTCCCTCACCATGTCCCCGGCCCAGCCAGCCCCGGTTTCCACCGAGGCTGGGCTTCTGCAGGGCTACACGGCCCAGGTGTGGCTCATGGCCTTCACCGTGGCGCTGGGGGGCTTGCTGGTGGCGGCGGTCCTGAAATACGCGGACAACCTCCTGAGACAGTTCAGCCCCGCGGACGCATTCGTCGGGCTTGGTGTGCTTTGGGGGGGAAGGCGGCGCCAAGTTTGGCAGGCAAGGTAGTTTGAGACGTGTCCATTTGAAGTGATGTTTTTGCCCGACTGGGAAGGGTTTTTTAGGGATCCCCAAGTGCCATGAGAAGAAAGCAAAGGGCACCACCCGCGCAGTATCTGATGTCTTCTTTGTTCGTTTTCCGGGAGCGGTGGGGCACCGAAGACCGAAGGCGGCACGGACTGCCGCCAAAACGGGATCAAGGGCCCGTCCTGTTTTGGCATCCCTGGGGTTGTTGGTGGTCGCCGCCGAGAAGGCGACCTCTCCATTCGTGGCGTGGTTCTGCGGATTTCCTGCTGTTAGCCATTGTTGCCCTTACTTCCAGCGAGGCGGGGTTTGTCAGCGCTGGTCAGGGTGCTGGTTGTGTGCTCGAGGTGCTGTGGTGGTGATGGTGAGGCTGGTTGTGTTCTTAAGGTGCTGTGGTGATTACTGGCGGTGCTTGTTTTGTGATGCAGGATGCTGGTCAAGGTGCTGCTTGGCGTGCTCAAGGTGCGGTTTGCAGGTGGCGCTTCTTTGGGGAATGCGACATGGAGTAAACCACACAGCTCGGTTTGGGGGAAGAAGTGGGAGGGCAAGGTCGGACGCTTTGCCAGGCACGGCGATTTCGGTGATTCTGACGACAGCTCTTTCTGCTTGGGTGCTTCACGACATCACGTTGGATATCATGTTTGGCGTGGGTACCGCGCTCACCATTGGGGCCACATTCATGTACAGTGGGCTGCTTGACCAATTCTTGCCAAGCTGGATGTTGCGCTGACATCGCTTGGCTGGACGTGCGAAGGTTATGGCTCGCTGAGCTGCACAATCCGATCGGATTGGTGCACCGGCAGTGTCAAGCCTACACAAATGTGCGGGTTGAGAGTGTCTAAGCACGGGGGACACGCTTGTGGAGATAAAAGGGAGTGGCAATTGGAATGTGCTGTGAACATAGTGCCAGGTTGCTTTGATGTTTCTCCTCGTGGTTCTGGTGAATTCTCGCGCATGTTGGCGGAGGTTGGTCCCTTGCTCTTGTTCCCCTTTTGTTGGTGCAAAGTCCACATGTTTGCCGTGTTGCTGAACGAAGTCTCTCACAAGCAAGAAGTAGCACTCTGCCAAGTCCTTTGGCATGTTCTCAAATCATGTTATATTATTAGCAGGAAGCAAAGCCCTCTTCGCATCTTCCCGATGACTAATAGTGAACCACCCCCAAAACACTAGTGCATTGAACAGAACCCACGGATTGTGCTTCCTGACTCCAATGACTGCAGCGCCATCGACGTCTACAAACGCATCCGACCACAGGGTTTTTGCCGGCAAATCCTTAGGTCACCTCTTGCACACGTCACGTTTCAATAGTTCCTCCCTCCGTCCCCCCCCCACCCCCCCAAGCGGGCAAGAAGCAAGCCGTAGTGCACCCCCGCCCCCAAGCCGTAGTGCGCGGCTCGCGCGCGGCTTCCATGGAGAGCGAAATGGACCTGGCGGAGGCTGGGGGCCGGCATTTGTCAGACTCTCGGACATGGGCTCCAACTCGCGGGTTCCAACTTGGCGGGTTCCAGGGACAATCATATGGCCATGGGCATTTTTTTCATGTTCACCAGGGGTACAGGGTTTTGACCCACACCCACGTGTGCAGCATCCTAGAACCCGGTTGTTGGAACTGTCTTTTGGGATCCTCCAAGTTTGGCGGGAAGGCTCCTAAACCGCTTCCTGATTTGGAGACCATCTCAGATTCGAATGGGCACGCTTTGGCGCACGTCGCAAATCCGATTTCTTGATCACTGTCATCCATTTTCCAAAAGGACACCTAGGTTTGGCGATGGCTTGCTTTCAGCGCTCGGCTGCTTCGCCCTTTGAGGTGTTGTTTGCTGTGTGCGGGGGAAATCGCCTCGAAGTGTGCCTGGCACGGCTGCAGGAAGGCATTTACGCCGTGTTGGGTGATTTTCGCCGCTTTGACTCGCGGTTTGGTTAGGTGTTCTGTCTGAACAATAGTGCGATGGAAGATGTGAATGCTTGCGGATGTGAAGTTCGGGTTGCTGCAGCGCTGGCACGGCTGGGTTTTCCCCCCCCCCCCCGGCACATTATTGCAATTTGGCGGATGAACATATTTTTTTGTTTGAATTAAAACTTAAAGCCGCGCCAAGCCATGTGGGATGGTAGCTGATTTGAGACTCGGACGGCAGGCGTGGTCTGCTGTGGCCGAGCTGCGCCTGCTCAAGGACGGGGCCCTCAGGGCCGGAGAAGTCATTTTGGGCACTTGGGTGTGGGTCAAGATTAAAGCACCAGGATGTGGATCGCAGGTGTTCCATGTTTCCATCTGCCAGGGCAAGCCATTTTGGCTACCCATGTTTGACCCACAGCCATTTCAAGGCATCTTTGTGCGACTTCACTTGCACTAAATACCACGCAGCAATGTCAACTTCCCGTTCAAGATCATTGTTTACGCGGAGTCCCTGCAAGCCGACACACTGAATGCCTCGAAGCAAATTTGTCAACATCCATTTCATGCTCGCTCTTTGTACGCAGCCCCCAAGCCAAAGTGGTAGCATCCATGCTCCCAGTGAGTGCATCTTGCACATATCCTGCATTATTGAGCTTGTGGCGACATCTGCGCGAAGCCCGAGCAGAAGGCCGCATTTGCCGCGAATGCTCGATTTCTGGGGCCAATGAAACAGCAACGGTGCTGGGGTTTTGTTACAAGTGCTGGGGATCCCGTCTGCACATGAAGGTCTAACGCGCTAGCCTGTGTTTTCAAGGGCCATGCTTATTGCCTTTTTACAAATTCTGAAGCATACCCACGCTTGGCGAAATGGTAATTTGTGCAAATGAGCAACAGACAACATTGCCTGCAGGGTATTGGTTTTGGGCAGGCTCTTTGATATTTGGTGGTATTGTCAGGTGCTCAGACCCCGACTCTGACTGGTGCGAGGAACCCCCTCGGCCCCCAGCAGGATCAAGCTGCTCCAAAGGAAGTGCTGCTGGTGGCTGTCCAGGCTCGGAGTTGGGTGTGGCCAACATTTTTTAGCTGGGGTAGCTAGGGTGGCGCAGGCCTCAGTCTTGCTTCCAGTTACCAAGCTGCCATTTCAGTACATTGTTTAAGCTTCAAGGCCATTTGGATCGACTCTCGCGGTGGGTTCGCTCGGCTTTTCTTTTTGGGAGGGCGCCCGCTTGGCGCGGTGGTTTTTCCGGCCCCGAGCCCAGGCCCTGGAAGCCGCGCGCGAGAGCGGGTTCAGGGAGGCCGGCCCCGAAATCGATGAGTGACGCCTTGGCGAATTTTTGAGCCACGCTTTCGGGTTTGCTTCGAGTTCCTTTTTTTGGTCGCTTTTGTTCGGCCGCTTTTCTTTTTTCTTCTTTTTTTTTTTGGTTGCTTTGAGGACTCCTTTCCTTTTTGGGGGCTTGGGGGTTTGACAGTTTTGGGTCCGCCTATTTTGAAACACCCAGGTTGAGACCGTTGCAAGTCTGCTCAAGTATGGGCCGTATGGGTGAAATTGTATCCTTTCACTCGTGGACTCCCCTTTGTGGCTGTTTCAAGGAAGAACGCAGGGAACGTTAAGCATTTGCAAAGAGTCTTATTTTATTGGATCGTTGTTCTTTGTGTTTGTTCCACAGAAGAACCCTAACAACGCATTGTTGCAAGGGCCTCGAAAACCAGAGTTGCTTGCTGGCGGTTTGTTGCGAGAGAAGAGGAAGACGAATCCAGGATGGGGGCCATGGGGGCCATAGAGGTACAGGTGGCAAGCTTCTGGCAAGCCAGATTTGAGAGAACGATGTGATGAGGAATCCTGAAGTTGTCCGTAGGTCCTAGGTCAGACCTCTAGGTTTTGGAAATACCCTTTTCCGACAACCCTTGGAAGTGGAGAGCCCCCCTCCATTGGTTCCTATAAAGGCTTGGAAGGTAGCTACCAAACCAAGCCACCAAACTATCAAACTACCAAACTACCAAACCAAACGAATCCAAAGCCACCAGCGCCAACCACCGAAGCCACAGCCACCAAAACCACCGAGCATTTCGCGGACTGCCTAGCCCCACGCCGGCACCCAGGTCGAGGCTCGTTTGGCCCTGGCCGAGGCGAATGGGAAATCGGGACTTTGGGACTCCTGGGAGGGAGTCCAAGTCTTTCGCCGAGTGTCCCACAAAACGTCCCAACAGGAGCTCCGGGCCTTCTCAGGGAAGGTCTTTGATTTTTTATTTTTTTTTGCCAGGGATGGCTCGAAGTCAAGCACACGTTAGCTCGGACCTATCAAGGGAGCCGGACTCTTTTCAGCCCGCGGTGAAAAGCCAAGTGAAAGAGACGCTGGCCCCTTCCCCTGGAAGGGTTGCGGCATCGCCTAGAAGCTTTGTTCCAAGCGTGTGTTCGTGTTGAGTCGATACCCTTCTTGCTTCAAAGGGAAATTCACCGGAAGGTTCCGCCATTTGTCCCGCTGAGAGGCAAAGCTCCTCACCTCTGGCCCGGGCAGCGGCTTCCAAATTGCGCTGGAGGAGGCGCTGGAGCGGGGCTTTTGGCTGGGCCAAACTCCGCTAAAAGCGCCAGTTGGTAGATGTGTATCCCAGGAGTCAAAGACCTTCATTTTCGGGCAGTGCGGGAATTTGGCCACAGAGTTGCGTTTTGTCCTCAGGGTTAAAGGGGCCCAAAGGGGCCAACTAGGCGACTTTCGCTGTTCAGAGGGGAAAACGTGGGGCGCCCCGCAGGCCCGGCAGGCGGCCGGGAGCCAAGGACGTGGGCCAAAGTCTTGGGGCTGCTTCCATAGGCGTCCTTTTTCGGTGATGCTTGAGTAGAAATGGACGGCACTGGTTTAGATTGGTTTTCATTCCATTTACCAGGGCCATCTATTTTCCAAAGAGGATACCGATGGGTGTTTCCCTACTAGAACCTTCTTCCATTTCATGGCTTTGTTTTCCTTTGATTCTAAGCAGCCAAGAACGCGTTGGTTCCAGCTTGGCACTCTGTCATGAGTGTGATGCCACGGCACGGGCGTGGTGTTTGCTCAGATGCCTCACTCACGCATGGCTGTCGTGCCGTTGGTATTTTGGTGTGGAGGTTGGGAAGGCTATCTCACCCAAAAGACGCTCGTGTTGCGAGGGGTATGACCTTTGAACCTTTGACGACAGGGCCAGCATGTTTCAACCACTTAGGTTTCTTTTGCCATCTTGGGTTCTCGCATTTCGGAGATTAATCAGGCATACACCAAGAGTTTAGGGGGTCAAACAAAGAAAGTGTGCGAAGACTCGTTTTTGTGGTGACCCCCCTGTCCACTGAACAAAATGGAAGCTTTCCTTCCTTTCTCGGCTTCCCTTCAAACCAACCTGAAAAGGGTGCGCGCATCGTGAAGCTCTCAATGAGTTGGCGAAAAGCCGTGGCCCAAGGCCCTAAAGAGCAGTGACGCCCATTTACTCCCAATCCAAAGATTGGTGAAAAGCCCCGGCCGAAAGAGCAGTCACACCCATTTCCTCCCAAAGATTGGCGAAAAGCCGTGGCCCAAAGAGCAGTGACGCCCATTCCCACGGTTGGAAGGCGGAGGCTGGGTGTGCCGCAGGAACCGCGGGAGCTGTGGGGCTGCTTCGGCTGGAAGGCTGCGCCTGTCTGGCGCGAAGGCGGCCGGAAGAGGCGCTGCGCTGCGCGGAGCGGATGAAAGCCCAAGGAGAGCGGCGGGAGTTGTGTGGGGTGGGGGGTGGGGGGGTTCAGCTGGAAGTGGGCCAGGGATTAAACCCTGCCTTCTGTGGAGAGGATAGCGGAGCTCCAAAATGAGTAGTTCTCATTCGGGGTTGCCTTAAAGGTGGTCCCAAAACCAAAGGAGAGTTGGCTCCTTTGAAGAAATCTTCTTTTGGGATGATTTGAAAAAGGATGCCAAAAGGAAACTATCCAAATGCAGACTCCCGCGCCCCGGCGGCCTTCTTTTCCACAATCTGTCGCTGGTGCTGGGGTATGTGGTGGGTGGAATAAAACCAACAGCTTCTTATGCGTGTGCGTGTACGCATGCGAATTCTGCATGCGGGTGCGTGACGCGCTTGTGTTCGTGCGTGCCTGCGTGCCTGCGTGCCTGCCTGCCTGCTTGCCTGCCTGCCTGCCTGCTGCCTGCCTGCCTGCCCGCCTGCCTGCCCGCCTGCCTGCCTGCCTGCCTGCGTGCCTGCCTGCAGGTGGGAGGGTGGGTGGGAGGGTGGATTCCTGGATGGGTGCGTGCGCACCATGCGCGTGCTTGTCAAAGCGAGCTATAGTTTGAGTTCCTCCGCAAGGTCGTTTCTCGGTTTTGAAGCAGTGGATCAAGATGGCATGATCATGCGAATTCGCGAATTCCAAGAGTTGAAGGAGCCCAAGTGCTTTAATTAGTAAATATAATTTAATCATTTTGCAAGCCCACTGATTTGCACCAGAGTCTGTTGTTTTCCTCGCGGGGATTCCTTGAATTCCCCACCTTGAGCCGAACAGACCCAGGACAGAAGCACAATTTGTGCGATGGGTTGCTCTATGGTTCGACCTTTGTGCTCCCAGAAAGCCATGGCTGGACGCTCCTTTTCGGACCGCCTTTCTTCGGGCAAACAAACTGCGGTCTGGCAGTTTCTTCTACCACGTTTGGGGTCGGTATAAAGGGACACCAGAGGGAAACCGCCCACGATCCTTTCTCCTTTGAGACAAACCTTTCTGTGGATGGACGAATTCCTGCACCACTTTGAAACCATGGTTGGAACAAGTGTTTTTTTCAGCATATCATCAGAAACCAGGGTTTCTTGGGTGTGGTTTGTGTGGTGTCGCAACCATCCGCAGTATGTCGGCTTAAAGGGACACCAAAAGGAAACCGCCCGTTTTGCGGGTTTCCTCTTTGAGACCAACCCTTCCTCTGGTTTCGTTCGGCGCGCCGGCCGGCCCGGAGGAGCTTCGGCGGAGTCGGAGGCCTTGGCCTCGGTGAGCGCGCGGCTCTGCGGCCGCGCCAAAGAGGCGGCGGCGGCGGGGCGCCGCGCGGCGGAGCTCGGAGGCGCGCGCATCGCGTCGAGTGGATGTCTCGTGCTGTTCGTTTGGTGCGAGAAGTAGGGAGTGACCTTCCGGGTGTTGGGAATGAACCCAGGCTGTCGCTTTTATCCCCGAAGAAAGGACAGGTCTGGAAGTAGGGAATGAGTTGCGTGGAATGAACCCAGGGGGGCCCCGAAGGGAAACCACCAGCAAGTTGGTTCAGTTCAGCAGGGCTAGCGACGGATTCCGATTGCTTGCGATGGACAGACACACTGGGCAGGTGTGGGAAAGTCCCCATCCTTCTTGTTCGTGGTACGGATCTCCGCTTTTTTTTTGTCTTTACCTCTGCTTTGGGGACCTTTTTTATTATTATTAAAACAAAAACAATCTTGGGAAGGTGATGTATTGTTTGGTGGTTCGCTGTTGTGTTGTGAGCTTCTCAGGCGCGGATTGGGCGGCCCTGGGCCTCATCCTGGAGGCGCGCGCCTCGGCTTCCGCGGCCGCCGCCCTGCCCCGCGCGGCGCGGGCGGCGCTGGCGCTGGCGCTGGGGCCGAGTGAGGGGCAGAAGGCCGCGGCGCAGCGGGCTCTGCGCCATGGCGAGCGACGTGAAGAACCAGGTTTTTCCAGTGCCCTTTCTCACAAACGGTTTTTGGGAGGGAGGGCTCGCGTTCCCCGACTAAAATGGACAGAGAAAAGGGTACCCTTATGCTAACTTTCCGCTGGAAGCAAATGAGTGGCCGTTTTTTCTGAACCCACCAGGCTGGAGCCTGTAAACTTGAGCACGTTTTGACTAAGGTTTTGTAAGCTGGACTTTCAAAGAGAGAAGCTCCACACGTTTGCGCAATGCTCCAGAGAGGCTAGGAGAGTTTCACCTGGGATTCGATCTCGTGTTTCCCAGGCCCCTACGGGCTAGGGTGGGGCCCCCAACGGAAACATTGACATTTGGCTGTGGCTCAAAATTAAACAGGAGGGGTTACGCAGGTGTTGGTCCATGTTTCCTCTTACCAGGGTTCCATTTGGTACCGGTTTTTTGAGCCACAGCCATTTGGTTCCATACCCACTTTTTTGAAGCAAAGAGATGGGCTACAGCTCCAAACTGCTACGCGCACGGGACTTTGGGGTGAATGCCCTCGACGCATTGTGAATGCCATGGAGTGGTACCCATTCTTTCTTGGATGTACGGCCAACCCCCTTTTTAAACATGTCTCAACTACTGGACTATCGCTTTCGAATCAGGCCTGGTTTGTCCAATGGCTACTGTTTTCGCATCCAAATGGGCGTGGCTCAGATTCAAACAGCTGAGGTTTTGCAGCGTACCATTTTTTGAGGCCCTTGAAGAAACCCTGGAATGGTGATTCCCCTGTAAATATCAACCAACCTTCTGCTTTCCACCATGACTCATCTCGTGGTGCGCTTTATGGGTTTCGATGACTCGATTTCCAGCCCAGGCGCCTGGCGGAGTCCGGCGCTGGCGGCCTGCGCGGCGCCGCGCTGCGTTTGCCCGGGGCGGACTTGGCGGCCGACGCCGTGGGCCGTTTGGGGCGCGGGGCGCCCTGGCGCCGGAGGGAGGCGGAGGCAGGACTTGGGGTGGAGCTTCCAACTGCTCCAGGGACTCTTTGATTTGCCCTTGGTGGTTTTGAAGGGAATCTAGTACTGTTTTTTTTTTTGCAGGGTGTGAGTGTGTGTCTGTGTCTCTGTGTCTCTGTGTCTCTGTGTCTCTGCGTCTCTGTGTCTCTGTGTCTCTGTGTCTCTGTGTCTCTGTGTGTGTGTGTGTGTGTGTGTGTGTGTGTGTGTGTGTGTGTGTGTGTGTGTGTGTGTGTGTCTGTGTGTGTCTGTGTGTGTCTGTGTGTGTGTCTGTGTGTGTCTGTGTGTGTCTGTGTGTGTCTGTGTGTGTCTGTGTGTGTGTGTTGTGTGTTGTGTGTTGTGTGTTGTTGTGTGTTGTTGTGTGTTGTTGTGTGTTGTTGTGTGTTGTTGTGTGTTGTTGTGTGTTGTTGTGTGTTGTTGTGTGTTGTTGTGTGTTGTTGTGTGTGTTGTTGTGTGTGTTGTTGTGTGTTGTTGTGTGTTGTGTGTTGTTGTGTGTTGTGTGTTGTTGTGTGTTGTGTGGTGTTGTGTGGTGTTGTGTGGTGTTGTGTGTTGTGTGTTGTGTGTTGTGTGTTGTTTGTTGTGTGTTGTGTGTTGTGTGTTGTGTGTTGTGTGTTGTGTGTTGTGTGTTGTGTGTTGTGTTGTGTTGTGCTTTGTGTGTTGTGTGTTGTGTGTTGTGTGTTGTGTGTTGTGTGTTGTGTGTTGTGTGGTGTGTGGTGTGTGGTGTGTGGTGTGTGGTGTGTGGTGTGTGGTGTGTGTTGTGTGGTGTGGTGTGGGTGTGTGTGTGTGTTTGCTTAGCAGCCAAGCCAATGCGTTTTTTTAGCAACAAGAAACACAAGGTGCGAATCATTTACGAGTTGAGTGCGGATTTCCCCCTCGGCTATCTGGAAGAAGCGGCTTTCTTGCTGCCCAGCTTCCCGTCGAGTTGAAAGCAGTGGCAGTTTTTGCCGTGCACCGATGCAAGGCGTGGTTGTGGAGAAATGTTGCCTTGTTGCACGACATTTGTCCACCCTGGTTCACTTGTTTACGCCCTATCTGCCTCCTCCTTACCTCTTGGCGGGGCAACCGTGGGCCTTCTTTGGCAGCCATTTCCAGTTGGCCCTTTCACACCGCCATACTGTGGACGAATTCCATGTCGCACCACCGTTCAGAAAGCCTGGGAAATGATTGATCCCCTGTAGTTGCCAACAAACCTTCTGGTTTCAACCATGGCTTCAACTCATTTCATGGTGCGGTTTTGCGGGTTTCAACCGTGGTGACTCATTTCATGGCGGTGTTATGGATTTCGTGGGACCCAACCACATTTTCAGCCACATGTCATGGTGCAGTTTTATGGATGTCGGTCGGAACCAGCCCCAGTACCAACCACCTCCTCTTCGAAGGTGTGGGCGGCCCGCTCCGCGGCCTCCGCCGCCTCCGCCTCCGTGGTGGTGCGGCGCCTGGCGGCGCTGGGCGCGGAGGGCGAGGCGGCGCTGGGGGAGGTGGCGCTGAAGGCGGCGGAGGAGGAGGAGACATGGGACGAGGCCTGGGGCGGGGTGGAAAAGGAAGGGTGCAGGGTCTGGGTTGGATGGGAGGCTGTTCTGGTCAAATGGGGCGTTCTTCGATGGATTTCCTGAATTGGTGGAAAATGAGTGCGGTTCGTTTGTTGGAGTAGCCGTTCTAGGGGACGGATTCCCCTAGTTTGACACATATCCAAATGGGATGGTTTCCGGCTATATTCAGTACGTATGTTGACCGGAGTGCAATCCCTTTGGGTGCTTCATTGATTCTACCCGGTTTTATGGATAAGAGTAGGGGCTGTATGAAACTTTAGTTGTATTCATTGATTTTCCTTCAACAGAAGCCAAACTAATGTACCCTCCAACAAAAACTAGTGTCGAAACGAGGAATCAGCCCCTCACAATGGCAAGAGATGCATGTTGGTCTCCGTTTTGAAATGAAGCTGGGTTCGCCAGTTTTGACTCACGTGCCAATCTTCGTCGACGGCTCAAGGAAAACCTCCATGTTGAACCACCGATTCCGAGCAGTCGCCAGACAGGTTTGGCACAAGACCAATAGTCGTGTGCATGGCTGTGTTACGCATATCGCAAGCTGATCTAGTTGAGCCTTTCCAAAAGAAAGGGGATGTTCCACAAAGAGGGCGCCGTGTTGTGGACGCTGTTCCGAGACAGCCCAAAAAGAGCCCGATAATTGGTCAGGGCCCCTGTTGTAGAAACACCTATGCGGGTTTGTCTCAGATGGTAACGCCAACATTGATGGATTCCCTTCGTTTCCCTTTGAACCAACTCCAAAATATACTTGTTTTGCTGGTAAAAAGCTTCTGGATTGTTCGTTGCCCATGTGTTTCTCCCTTGGAAAACCAGACCCACCGTTTCCCCTTTGGCTTCCCCTCCCCAAAACACAAACTTTGCATCCTGCAAAGGGGTCCCTAAGGAACATGGCCTTTCGGGAACCCAGAAAGCAGGTAAATCTTTGGTTTCTCTGGAAGATTGATACTTTTTGGAACCCCTGATGCACAAAAATCACATATAAAAATACACATACATATACACATACATACATATACATATAGATACGCTCAGACCCACCTTTTTTTCTCCCATTTTTTTTTTTTTTTTTGGGGGGGGGGGGGCGGTCCGACCATATATATACATATATGTCTGTAAACATACATTTATATATATATATATACATATAATATTCACATACAAAATGGTATATATATAGGTTGTTTAACATGTTCAGCACACTTCAATCACAAATCATCTGCACACTTCTGCTTGCCTATCCTTCTTCGGGCTCAATATTGCTGCAAATACTATATGAAAGTGCCTACTCAAACCAAAACATTTGCCAGCGTCACATCTTGTCCAGGATCAACCCTCTGACAAAAACAATGTCAAATCTAAACGAATTCCGTTTTGCTTTTCATCTGCTTCAAACAGTTGAAAACTGCTCAAAACACTGTCAATTACAGTGTGTTGGCTGTGTTTTAGCTGTGTCCAAAGCTGGGGGTGGATCTTGGGGGGGGGGGGGCGACCATGTATATATACATATATATATATATATATATGTACACATAGAAATACATGTACACAAATATGCACCTGCTGGCTTTTCGGGAGGGCAGCCCTTGGTTTTCCTGGCCAAAGCCAGCCCTTCCACCTCCAGGCGGCTGCCCTGGCCCAGCGAGCGCTGGCCCTGGCTCGGAAGCGCCAGGACTTCGCAGCTGAGGCCGGGGCTTGAAAAGCGGAGCTGTAAATGGTTATATATATATATATGTATATATGCTGTATATATGTATATGTATATATATATATATGTATTTATGTTTTTTGCAGATACACACATATATATATATATATATATACATATATATATATATATACATATGAATGCAGATATCTATGTAAAAATACATATGAACACATATATACATATATGTGTATACCTAATTATTTATGCTCACCGCCTGCCCATGACCTACCTCTGCATAGTCTGGTGCCAAAAAGCTAAACTCCCATGTGGGGATTTATCAAAACCCATTCCAACTGCAATTGACTTTGGGGCTCAAATCCGTTTGCAAGGGAGTTCCTATTTTTTCCCAAATTAATATTGACATTCAAATGCATTTATTTCCTCTTTCAATTCTATCACAATTCTAGCTGAATGTTGGTTTAAGTCTTATTAACACGGATTCACAATTAATGTCTGTTCAACATTGTAGTTATACGTAGTTGTATTCTTCTTCTGTGAACTTCTTCGCGTGGAACTGATGTTCTGATATAGATTCTGACTCTGATATAGGTTCTGATTGAAGCTAGACGCCCGCCTGAGGGGACAACTCTCCCACCGGGAAGGCCCTCGCTCTGCGCTGCCTCACGCGGCTGCATGGGAGGATGAAGCTGCCACCTCTCCGTGCGGGGCTCAAAAACCAAGCCGGCCGGGTGGGATGGGATGTGACCAGTAGGGAGGACTGCGAGGGACTAGCCAAGTTCCTCCCTTTTTTTGAAAGGAGGGGGCACCCAACAAATTGCATTGGAGTGAGGAACTGTGGACCCTGACCGCAATCCGGGCAATGTTCTCGACTAGGGATCCTTGTGATGGCCAAGTCTAAGATCCTTAGGTGTGATGACCATCCCAATGAGCCAGTGAGCCCCGAATTTACATTCTACCCCACTTTCCAGGTATACTCCACTTTCCGGGTATCGGAAGCAGTGGTTGACGTTATGCTTGCTCAGGAAGCGACATCTATGCAAGTACACTTACCCCCCTTCTCCATTTAGGACATAGACAAAATTCAAAATTGTATTACTCTGGGACGAAAGCTCGGGTGCCAGCCACAGAAACTAAACAGACTGGCAATTTGTTGGTTCCCTACTTACATCCCGCTTGGGCTTGTTTCCAAATGGGGACACTTCCCGAATGGGTGGTGTCCTCATGGTTCTTAGCTAAGAAGCGACCGGATTTTTGGAGGCAAACGAAACTTGGCGGTTCCCAGCTGTCCCCTTGTGTCTTTTTTTGGGTTTGTCGTGTTTAGTGGGGGGTGTCCATTTAATCCACTAAAAGTTAAACTTTTAGCAGGGGATTTGCTTTTTTGTTTGTGCTTCGTGCGGTTCGGACAGCCCAAGAAAGACCGGAAAGACGTGCGGCCCCATGTCCATTGCTCACCCAACACGCAGCCCGAGGTTCCGACTTCCGGAGCTTTTGCATCGCCAAGCTCTGCCAAGGGCTTGGGGTCTTTTCGGGGCCGTGGGGCCTTTCATGCAGACAAAAAACGGCATTTGATGCAGCACCAGGATTCATGAAGGCAGCATGCTCCCCAGGTTTGTGGTTTTGGTTGGTTTTGTTAGGCTCTTGCTTGACGCCAAGCATGTAAATGATGAAACAGTTGATTCCTTCACGCGAGTCGGAACTTCGATTCAAGAGCTGCGGTTCGCAGTCGGATCGAGCAAGCAGCTCGGAAACATGGAAGCCCATTTTCTCTCGCACCCAAAAAACTTGGAGGCCTCGGGCGTTTTTGGCTGGAGCATCTTGACCCGGCCACTCGAGCACTGCCTGCCAGTGTTTCTTTGAGGGCGTTTACAGCAGTCCAAGCTCATGGTGATTGTACCGCGTGGGATTTTGTGGAGCCACTGGCAGATTGTGCTGCGGTGAGTGACAGTGTCTGAAAGAGACACAGGGGCGCTTAATATTTTGTAGCCGGCCATCGGCCTCCCGCCGTTTGGCCTGAGTCGGTGTTTCTCTCAGGTTTGCAACACCTGACGTTGGCATCAAAGACAAGTCACTTTCTTCTGTGAGCCCGTGTTCAGCAGAGGTTTCTGATGCTCGGCATGTTTGCAGGGTGTGCTGAAAGCTTTGGTCAGGATGGTTGTTCCGATTCCAAACCAGCAAGCTGCTGGCAAGCAAAAAAAGGCAGAGCCAAGCACCAAGCAAACAGAATCAAGCAACTTTAAGCAACAGCTGGGGATTGATCAATACTCCTAGCCCCCAAATGATCATGGGTAACTTTTTCCATTTAGTGGTTGGCATATCGTGTTTTTAGTGGTTGTCCGAACAATGGTCATCCCAGGTACAAGACCTTTTGATCAACCCCCAGCTGCTAGGAAATGAGCCAAAAACCGACCCCCATGAAGCGCAGAATACCAACAACCCCCATGTCTTGGATCAACCCGCATGAACCAAAGACAAATCCAATCACGGCACCCACGGCCGCCCGCTCGCTCGCTTGCAAGCGATGCGCCTCGAGGCGCCGGCGCCAAAGATGCGGCGGAGCAGCTTTCGGCGGCGCCGCTGCAAAAGGCGCTGGAGGCGCGCTCTGTGCGAAAAACAAACCTGTCCTTCTTTTGAGTTTCTTCTTTTCTTTGGGGTACTTTTTGAAAAGTATGTGTTCTTCTGTATTTTTGTTTTTGAAGTGGAGTTTGTTTTATGAAAAATAGAGGGTGCCATTATGTGACCAGTTGCCCGACACCAGGCACATGAATGCAATGTTTACGCATTGGGGGGCGGGGCTTTTGGCTCTTTTTTTTTCAAAGTGGAGTTGATTTTCGTTTAACAAAGTAGAAGGTATCATTATGACACGTCGTGTGTTTGTTTTTCGTGTTTGTGCGACTTTTAATAGAGGGAATCAGTATGATACACGTTGTTAAAAGTAGAGGGTCTTTTATTAAAAAGGAGTAGAGGGTACCAGTCTGATACATTGTATATTGATGAGACATACAATTGTGTCCTCCCTGATAAATTGTATGATTCCTGATGAGAGTTGTGAATATTTTGGTATAAGAAGCTAGAATAATTCTGCCGGATAGGTACGAGTTTCACACCTGGGCATGTGCCGAAATAGCCCCCTCCCCAACAAATATTGGTAGGTGTTTCTTCTGGCATCCCCTTGAACCAACCCGGCAAGGGGGGGGGGGGGTAGGTTTTCCTTTTCAAGTTTGGCGCCCCTTGAGCCGTCCAAGGGACACATCTTCATTCCGTGTTTTTGGTGCCTCACTTCGAGTGACTTTGACAATGGTCAAGTCATGGGCCAGATTCAGTCGCTTTCCTGGAAGAATTACCCGCCCTTCCAAACATGGAAGTCTTCCACAAGGGGTTTGCGCACTTCCAAGTTTGTTGGTGCGGGGGTGCCGGGGGGTTGGGGGGAGGGGGTTGAGGGGTTGGCTCAAGGTTAAGGTCCCGCGCCAGAGGTGGTGAGGTGGTTGTGTTCTAGGGGGTGCCCTGTTTTTGAGCCACAGCTGCTTTGCAGGTCACCCTTAGTTGGTGGTTTCGATTGGTGGATTTGGGATTTGAACTTGTAGAGGGTAGACGGGAACCCCCCCTTAACCACCAAACCACCAATCCAAACCAGCAATTGGATTCCTTGGATTCAACAACTCTTCTTCCTGTTTTTTGGTTTCGTCTTGCGCTTCCAGTGGCGCGCCGTGGTTGTGTGCGGGGGCCATACCCAAGTCACCACCTTTCTTTTCGCTTCCCTTGGGCATCCAGTAAACTCCGCTATCAGATGCTGAAGGTGCGACGTGCTTGTTACGCAACAAAAGGGAGCCATGCCCATTGCCTGAGTTCCGGGGCATCTCTCTTGCAGGCGGAGAGTCATGAGGATTGCTCCAGAGAATCCGATTTTGTCCCTGGCCCGATCACTCACCCGACACCGAAGATTCCACGGACCTAACCGTGGTTCGTATGTTTCGCAGCCTCTTTTCCGAGCATCATCTTGACCAGGTGGTTCAAGTGAGTTTGCTTTCACTCGGGTGCTTTGGGAATCCAATCGACAATTGACCAGCTGCTTCTTGGACTGAACCCACAACTGGTTGAGTTTCTCCTGGTCCCTTGAAGAACCACAAAGCTGATTTTTGCAGCTCGAACACTCTTTTGGGGGGGTTGCTAGAAAATGAAGGGAACCCACAACCAACCCATTTCAGGGAACCCCCCGTTAAAAAAAAAAAGCGAAGCCTTTGGCTCCACCCCCCCCCCCCCCCCCCCAGGCCATCGCAGAGGCGGGTCACGCGGCGCGGAGGCTCAGTGGGGACCCGGCGGGTCAGATGAAGTGCATGTGAAGCCCAAAGCCAGGAAAAGGAGGCTTCCAACTCAAGAAAAGAATGTGTCTGGAGTCGCCACGAGCCTTGAATCATGGGGTCGTTGCCAGATCTGGGGTGAAGTTCTTCAATTACAAACCCTCCTTTTCGGGTTTGGTTTTGACATAAAGAACGAGGGAGCCCTCTTCTTTTTCTTTTTGTGGGGGGGGGAGTTGCCCTGTTTGCAGACGAGCCCATGCGAGGGATGTGTGGGGGTTGTCCACTTGCTCCAGGCAGCGATTTATTTCTCCATAAATTTTGACACTTACCTATCAAAGCTGTTCTGCCCTTTATGTCACCCAGTAATCGAGTAGATGAACAGGCACAGAAGTTAGCATATTTCACCAAGCGGCAGTGCAAAGCATCAGCCCAAAAGGGAAGTGATGTATTGGCAAGGTAAGTGGAGCTAAGTTGGTGCAAGACAGTGCAACAGTGAGCAAGCAAGCCAAGTAGGTGAACGTGTAGGTCAGTAAGCAGGCACGTGCGTAAACCAGCAATGCGCAAGCCATCTATTTGTGCAGGACATTCAGTCATGATGGACTCAACCAGAAGCAATGTAGCACATGGCACGTAGGCAAGCGAGCAGGTGACAAGCAACCAAACAGGCAGGCAAAAATGAATCCACCAAGGAAGCCGGCAAGCATTGCAGTGGGTCCACAAGTATTTCAGAGACCTCTTGGCTGAAATGGCCCAGCAGTATGAAGACGTCAGCTGGTGCAATGATCAGCTGACAATGTTGCATGAATCTTGAGGTCGATGACCTGTTGGCAGATGTGGACCTGGAGGAGGCATGCTGACGAATGGCTCGCACATGTGAACATGAGTGCAGGCAATGAGGTTGAGGCAAGCGCATCATGGCCCCTTGACTGGTGCAGGCAATGTCGCCACTTCGGCTGGGGCCTCAGATTTGATGCAAGGGCTGCTGTCACGGCTGCTGTCAAAAGGGCCCCAGCCATTTCCTAAGGCAACACGGAGCAGCCCAAAACCGGCCACATGGGGTGCTGCCAAACCATGGCCTCTCTTTGGACCCTGGTGGCCATGTCCGCGTTTCTTAGAGAGGCGACCAACGCCCCAATTTTGACCAACCTTGCCCCCAAACCTCCCCCCCCCCCCACCGCCCTCCCGCCCACAGCATGCGAAGCGCCGACCAAATAGCCTTTGTCCCACTAACATGGCACCAGAAAACCCCTCCAAGAGGAACTTGATCTTCCAGGTACCCTCTCACAGGTGCCATGTTAGTTGGAGGGAGGGTATATTCCGCCCAGGCCGGGCGCGGACTGGCTGCGCTCCGCCGAAGCCGAAACCTCAGAGATGGTGCGAAAGATGGCCCATGACTTTTCAAGCGGTTGGCTCCCTCTTGAAGCGGTTGGGTCTAGCGGTTGGGTCCCTTAGCGGCGCTGTTTCTTAGATGCTATATGCCAGGGTTGGTTTCGGATCACTCGGGGTTTATCCAACCACTTCTGTAATACTTGTGGGAACATCCCCCCCTTGTGGGGGGTTAGACTTTGGGAAGCCCTTTCTGTTGCATAACAGAAGTGGTCATTTCCCGCGGCCCTGCTTTAAAGCGGTTGGCTCCCTCTTGAATGTATCAGTTGGCGCTCAGTTGGGTGAGTTTGAGAATGGCATTGGGCAAAAGTAGATGGCACAATCTTCCCCATTCGTTGTCCCTTTTGCTCAAGGGAGTTGCGCCAACTCTCACCCTGGTGCAATTTGCATGAACCGGGGTATTATCTGTAGCAGCAAATCTGAATCCACCCGATCTCTGTATAAGTTATCGGGAACTGCATCCAGTGATTGAAAATGACTTCAACAGATCTTGGTTCTAAATTCGGTTTCATTTGGGATTTAGCACGTGTGCCAGAAGAATGTATCCTTTCGCCATGGGATAAGATCTGCTGGGAGGATATCAGTCACCGATCAACCTGCATCAGAAAAGGACCCGGTAGCTCAGGTGCCTGCGGTGCTGTACCGCCACATTTTCAGCGACTTGGCAAGGGCCGCGCCTTGTTTTCCTGTTGATTTCCCGCTGGCTTTCAAATCTTTAAAATAAGACATGGGGCATCCTATTTCATGACATCCCCAAGCATAGTTTGCTGTGCTTTCACCTTACTTAGCAATCCGTTGATGTGCTCTCCACTTCTTTTCGAAGATGTGTGCCAAGGCCCAGACAAGGCCAGTGGTCAGCCGCTCATGCAGCCCCGGCCAGTCTTTCCGGCTATGCGCTGTTCCGGTTGATGCCCTGATTGTGGCAAGTAGGGAACTAGGGGCGGCCCATGGCGGCCCTGTTTGTCCAACGCTTTGTGCCATCGTTTGGTGAGGCATGGTTGGTTTACTTGCATGCCAGGCTGGACGAAGTTCCCAAGCGCCGGATGTACTGCAACGTCAGGGCCCGCTTCTTGGATCGTGGCGAGAGCCATCGGTCAGGTTGCCCCTTGAGGTTTGGTCAAGGTATCTGTTAGTCGGTGCTCCGTTTGGAAGGGACCCACTAAACAACTCACACAAAGACCAGGGAGGACCTCACTCAATTTTCTCATGTCCCCCAGGGGAACAAGCAATTTTCACCTTGCGTGCCTCTCATGGACTGCTTTCTTGGAGGTGGGCGGCGTCCAGTACGGCCCGCGGTACCGGCAAGTTCAAGGCGCGTCTTTGCTGGAGAAGTCATGAGAGTTTTTGTTGATTTGTTGGCTGAACTTCGGCTAGGGGGCTGGTTGGTTGGTTGGTTGGTTGGTTGGTTGGTTGGTTGGTGGTTGGTGGGTTGGTGGGTTGGTGGGTTGGTGGGTTGGTGGGTTGGTGGGTTGGTTTGGTGGGTTGGTGGGTTGGTGGGTTGGTGGGTTGGTGGGTTGGTGGGTTGGTGGGTTGGTGGGTTGGTGGGTTGGTGGGGTTGGTGGGTTGGTGGGTTGGTGGGTTGGTTGGTTGGTTGGTTGGTTGGTTGGTTGGTTGGTTGGTTGGTTGGTTGGTTGGTTGGTTGGTTGGTTGGTTGGTTGGTTGGTTGGTTGGTTGGTTGGTTGGTTGGTTGGTTGGTTGGTTGGTTGGTTGGTTGGTGGTGGGTTGGTGGGTTGGTGGGTTGGTGGGTTGGTGGGTTGGTGGGTTGGTGGGTTGGTGGGTTGGTGGGTTGGTGGGTTGGTGCTGGTTGGTTGGTTGGTTGGTTGGTGGGTTGGTGGTTTGGTTGGTTGGTTGGTGGGTTGGTGGTTTGGTTGGTTGGTTGGTTGGTTGGTTGGTGGGTTGGTGGGTTGGGGTGGGTTGGTGGGTTGGTGGGTTGGTGGGTTGGTGGGTTGGTGGGTGGTGGTTGGGTTGGTGGGTTGGTGGGTTGGTGGGTTGGTGGGTTGGTGGGTTGGTGGGTTGGTGGGTGGGTGGGTGGGTGGGTGGGTTGGTTGGTTGGTTGGTGGGTTGGTGGGTTGGTGGGTTGGTGGGTTGGTGGGTTGGTTGGTGGGTTGGTTGGTTGGTGGGTGGGTTGGTTGGTGGGTTGGTGGGTTGGTGGGTTGGTGGGTTGGTGGGTTGGTGGGTTGGTTGGTTGGTGGGTTGGTCGGTTGGTGGGTTGGTGGGTTGGTTGGTGGGTTGGTGGGTTGGTGGGTTGGTGGGTTGGTGGGTTGGTGGGTTGGTGGGTTGGTGGGTTGGTTGGTTGGTTGGTTGGTTGTTTGGCTGGCTGGCTGGCTGGCTGGCTGGCTGGCTGGCTGGTTGGCTTGCGCAAATAGTACAACAAGATTGGATCCCCGGCCCGTGGCATGGGCAGGGTTTAAGCCGCCGAGCTCCAAAGCGGACGCTGGAAAGTGACCGCCTCAGGTTGCAAATTCTCGAAGGAGAGGGGCGAGTCTTATACCTTGTCACCGAGGGAGTTAGGAGACCGGTGAATGCACAACGTGAGGCCCGCGGTGGTGGCCGTATTGCGGCCGTCCTCAGAAGCAGAGGAGACAGCTGGAGGTTTGAGGGAATTGGAGGGATTCGATGGCCGTTTATCACTTCACAGGTCTTTGGGGCTGAGCTGCAGAGGAATACTTCTGCTGAGGCTATCTTAGAGGTAGTGTTGGCCCCCTATTTCTCAGCCCCAGTTTCTTAAAAGGGGGTGTTCCCCTCCAAAAGTGAACAAATCCCATAACAACCAGTTGGACACCCCCATATTAATTAATAAACAAGGGTTTATTAATAGGGGGTGTTCATTACCTAACTTCCATAGCTAGATACCAAGCCCAGGGATTCGACTCGAGTCACATTTCTCACGTTGGTCGAGTGGCCACTGCAGGAGTGGGATGCGCGAACGCTGGCAGCTCAAAACTTCACTACGGGTGTCTGTTTGGTTTGTCTTGCTGGTGCTCGCTCTGCCGGGAATGAGAATTGGAATGACGCTTACATACCATCCCCCGTGGTTTCCTGTAAGGGGACCCGATTCATTCCCGGATTCCCTGAGCACCAGCAAGTTGATCCACCTTTGCAAAGACCCTTTTGCTCTACTGCTATTGGGATGGATCTTTAGACTTTAACTTTTTTGGATTCCCCGCATATAACTCCTTTTCACCAGCGAAGATTAACTTTTTGCTGGGGGATCTACAGCACCCAAGTTTGCCTCAAAGATGCAGCGAGGTGGGATTGGGCCCCGCCTTTGGTGGACGCGGCTGCGCACGCGGCTTTCCTCTTTGGCGAAAAAGAGAGGCGTAGGGAGGCGTTGGAGACACGCTATCCCTTGCACCCGGCTTCACTGGGTGCCACATATATGACTTTCCCCTAAAGGAACTCAAAACATGCTGCTTCCCCTCGGTGACCCTGAGAGTTCAAGTCCTTCGCGAACTGCAAGTCGAGCTGCAGATATCTGGCCGCAGCAGATCTGGCTGCGCAGAGCCAATGGTAAGAGCTCTATTTCGGTCGAGCGTTTGGCAGCATTGGGCATCTCCGCCTTCTATGCAGGTAGTAGGAGATATATATAGAATCTGGAATGCAGCTAGAACATATCCAGAGCTTGGATGTTACGGGAATTGAGCGTTGACGTAGCAATGAGCCGAAGACAAGAACACTTCTGAGTGCCATGGGCTGTACGGATGTGGCAGCTCATCCCGCCCGCTTTGCACAGGCAGGGGTTTTCTTTTAAAAAAAGCGAGGTATCTTTGTCAAGCCGCAGCTTGGTCTGGAAGGACAGGGTTTAACCATAGGTTGGATAAATTTCTGGAGTGTTTGATTTGCCCCAGATAGCTTTAGCTGTAAGGGGTTCTCACGTCTAAAGAGGTTTGTTCAGAAGAGCAGGTGGGGGCTGCGAGAGCTGGCTGGCGGTTGCAGGGTGCTGGTCTGGGTGCTGGTCTGGGTGCTGGTCAGCGTGCTGGTCAGCGTGCTGGTCAGGGTGCTGGTCAGGGTGCTGTTTGTGTCCTTGAGGTCATGTGGTGGTGGTCACTGGCTGTGCTTGTTTAGGGATACAGGCAGGGCGCTGTTTTTGGTCAGGGTGCCGCTTCTGTGTGTGAGTGCTGTTCTGCTTGGCGTGCTCAAGGTGCCGCTGTGGTTGCTGGCGTGGCTGTTGCAGTCTCCCTTGCTATTTGGAGTCGATGCTGGTGAAATTCGACTGCAGGGGTTATGCAGGTTGTTGTCTTTGTTGGACAAACCAAGGTGGACCTCTGACTCCCATTTTTCGGGCCATAGCCATTTGGATCGATTGTCGCGGTTGATTCCCCCAAATGGGCTCCTCTTTTTTTTGAGAGTGCCCGCTTGGGCGTTGGGTCGATCTGGAGACAAGCCACAGCCATGGCCATTGAGACTCCACTTCGAGCCGCCGTCGAGTCAGGTGCCCTTCGCCATGTGCTCCCTGGCCCGCGGCGAACCTTCCCCCGCCCTACGCGCGGGCGGCGGCCTCGCCGAAAACGCGACGCGGATGCGGCGCCCGCGCGGCGCGGGGCGCCGAGGGCATCGACTGGTCGCCGCTGCCAAAGCCGCAGACGGCGTGGGCGCTGGTCACAGGCGTGGGGCGGGGACAACGAGCCTTTGGTCGGGCTGAAAGCGAGCAGTTTGAGGGGTTCTGAAGTTTCCTTTTTTGGGCGGTTGCCCTTAAACCCGCAGTTTGAAGGGTCACTTTGAAGGACTCCCTGCCATTTGTAAGGGACTGAATCATTTGAATGAGGTTCTGGGGTACTTTGAAAACCAAACTAAGTTATGATAGGAGAGTCATCTATGCTATTGTTAGCCCCCTATGTTACCCACCCGGGTGACGAGGAGAGCAGGCGTTGACCACGACCTAGTGTTGAACATGGATGTTGATGTTCACAAATCTTGGTGGCAAGGTTTGGTACACAAAAGCTCGTGTCCTTCCCTTTTGCAAGAAAACAATGGCGGCGCTAAGCGGTGAAGAGCCTTCGTCCTTGCCACTGAGGCCGAGCGCTAAAAAATCCAAAGTGGCAAGGTCGACTGTCGCTTCGGAAGTCCCAAACTTTTGGGGATCCCTAAAGTCTGGGGACCAACGGAAGGGGTTCTAAGAAACAAGTTCCAGCGTGCACCAAAGATCGACTGAAGATGACCAACTGAAGGGAAGGGGGAGAAATTCGCCCGTCGATTGTCCATGTGAGTTCATCTCCAGAGACTCTGTCTTTGTTTTTCAACTTTGATTAAGCATCCTGGAATCCATTTATTTATTTATTTGTGTGTGTGTGACGTCATTTTGCTGGACCCCGAAGTCTGGTTGCTACTATTTTATGTCAACAAAGCAGTACAAGTTAGCTTTGACATTCTCAATGTATGACAGGTCAACCTTCTCCTTTGAAATGACATCGACGGATTCCAATGCTTTCCCGATTTGGTTCAAGCATTTTGCCGCTGAATTTCCATCGATGTGATCCCCCAAAAGGACACCTCAGGTGCCGGGTAGTCAACCAGAGAGAGTCCCGGCTCCGTTCTTCATGAAACTTCTCCTACCCCCAAACGCAGCTCCACTGTTGGTCACCTTTTGTTTGTGTTTGTGTGGGGCTGTGTTTTGAGACCTCCTCAAACGGGAGGGGCTTGGTGAGTTCTGAGTTTTTTGTGTGTTTTTCTCGCGGAGGGTTATGGCAACCACAAAGGACAGCCGCCAGCTGGGGCGGTCACATGCTCTCGTGTTCTTTGGGGGTATCGGATACCCCGGTACCCCATTGTTTACCCCGTTGCTTTCCACGGACTTCAAAGGAATCCACCTGGGTATGGGTTAAAATTAAAGCACCAGCAAAAACCGCAGGTTTTTGTCCCTGTTTCCATTTGCCAGGGCGCTTGCCATTTTGAGTACCTTTTTTGTTGACCCACTCCCACCTGTTGATGGCTGGGGGGGGCGGTTGGACGATTTCAGGGGCCGCCACGGGCCTGGGCTTCCGCCTGGCCGCGGCCTGCGCGCGCTGCGGCTACGGGGTGATCCTCACGGATGACGCCCCCACGCTGAGCCTCGAGGCGGGCGGTTCCGCGTCCTGCCGGGGGGTCCTCGTAGGGAAGGGGTCGGTCCCGGGGTTGGCGTTTGAAGGAGTCGACCCGAGCCAACCGGGCGGAGGAGGTGACTTTTGGCCGAGGTTCATGGGGGAATTCTGGGGTTTTGCTTATAATCCATCAATCAGGAACCCGGGATTTCGAGTTTGTGTTGATTTGGCCAAAGAGTAATTGTTGGTTGGAACACCCAGTAAAAATGGGATTCATGGATATGAATCCCCGAGACAATGACGTCCACTAAAGGGTCTGCAATTTCGGGTTCATGCCCACATGTCCTGCATAAGACATGCCCTTCCATTCTGCAAGGGTTAGTTGGTTTCAGCGGGGGAAGTGAGAGAATGACCGGGATGACCGACCGGGGGGGTCTTTTGAAGGTGAGCCCTCGGAGCGAGCAGCAAAAACAGGTTTTTCGTGTGGGTCCAAGCACGCTGAGGATTCCCCCCGGAAGAACACCGTAGCCACCCCACCAAGATGGAAGTGCACAGAGAGCTTTTGGAAGACGACGCCCGTTTTGGACGGGAGGAGGTCGTCATTTTGGCCATGGACCATCGCAAGTTCGACTTGGAAGAATCGCCTAATTCTTCTCTGCTGAGGCGGAGCTGGCGAGTTTCAAGCGGGTTCGCAAGATCCCCGCCAAGCTCTCAGATCCCTCGGATGGCGCTGCGTCTCTGTATAAGAAGATCAAAGAGGACTTTTCGATGCCGGACTCTTCGAGCGCGGCTGCGGGTGTTGAGGGGCGAGTGGTTCCTGGCAAGTTGTGAGCTTGCAAAAGGGTGGTGGTTTCTGGCCAGTTGTGTTGCTTGCACTGGGGAGGGAACCATGGTCCTTGCGGGTCCTCAGTCTGAAGAGGAGGGCCTGGACGTGTGCATTCTCCTGGTGTGCTCGGATCAGTTCGCCTACACGGGGCCATTTCTCCAACAGAGTGTGGAGACTCTGGACAGAATTCGCTGCGGAGCGCTCTCCGGGGTTGTGTTTTGACACCCTTCTTGACAAAACAGAAGGACCCCCTTCACCCTCCTGAGCTGAGAGATGAACCATTCCGGAACTAAGCAGAATTTTGTTGGCACAAGGACGCCCCGTGTGTTTTGGCCCCATATGGCTGTGGCTCAAAAACTTGCTTCCCCAGAGATGGCCCACTTGGCAAGTGGAATTCAAGACTAAAACCTGCGTAATCCTGGCCAAGAATGTTGAGCCACACCCATATGGCCATGGGAAATCCAAATCGTACCCCCAGTGAACATCCCAATCCAACCACTAAAATAGGGTGAATTCACCTAGCCCAAATTGGGATCCCAAAATGGTTTGACCACCACAGCCATACCCACAGTCCCTTCTCTTCTTCGAGCCGGTCGGTTCGACGGCGGTCTGAGCCGAGGAACCTGGACCGCATGTTGGCCCTGAACGTGGGGGCCACCACGGTCCTGTGCCGGCAGTTCGGGGAGGAACGTTCGCGGCTCGTTTTGTCGTCTTTTCTTTGGGGCCAAAGTGACTAGTGGTGGGTGTGGCTCAAAATGAGAGAGCAGGTGTTGGTTTTTCATTCAAGGGGACCAAGAATTGGTGCCACTTTTTTGAGCCACAGCCTGGTTGCCAACTTTGGTCCAATGTTGTGCCATGTGGGGGGTTGTCAAAAATGGGTACCCTCCCTCCAACAAACATAGCACCTGTGGGCTGGTCCCCGGAAGATGAGCTTCCTCTTTGGGGGTACCCCGTCTGAGTTGCCATGTTAGTGAGAGGGAGGGTATTCTTTTTGGGCCGTGGGGTATCTGGGGCCCGCCTTTAAAAGAGGTCCTTTAAAAGGGGTCCATATGTTGCAGGATACATGGGGGCTGATCAAAAGGCCTTTTACATGGGATGACCTTGGGGGAGACCGCCAAAGACGACTTTGACCGCTTCGTAAGAGTTGCCCATGGTCATTTTGGGGCCAGGAAGATTGATCAGCCATGTGCCACTGGGTAAGGATCGAAAATTTGTGGGTCTAAAGGAACCTCTCGCTTTGGAGTGTTTGAGCGGGCAAGGAAGGGATTCTCCAAAAGATCAGGTGGCCAGCCTGAACCCCCTGAAAATGTCATTTGTTTCTTTTGTTTCCAATTTTTCATTTTTTTGGCCAGAATTGAACAGGTTGAACAAACATGGAAAAATGAAAACACTTGAATTGTTATATGTTTTTCATGTTGTTTTTCTCCATTGTTTCATTTTTTGTTTTTGTTCTCCAATTGTTTGGCCAGAATTGAAAAACCACTGACAAAACAACGTAGTCTTGGATTTTCAATGTTTTATCATGTTTTGCATGTTTCTTTTTCCCATGTTTTGGCCAGAATTGAAACAATGAACAACAAGAAACACACATCGTAGTAGTCTTGGTTCTGTTTTCATGTTTTTCATTTTTCCAATTCTGGCCAAACAATGAAAGAAATGAACACATGAAAAACAAATGAAACATCCAGGGGGTCTGGGAAGGGCTCGGATGATGATGATGATGATGATGATGATGATGATGATGATGAACATGCTAGCCCGGTCACATGATACATACTATTCCCCCCTTTTTTTTCACAGGACATGGTCCAGCGGGGCCGGGGCCGCATCCTGCTGGTGGGCGCCGGCGCTCAAAACGGCGGCGTGCGGGGCGTGCCGGGCGCCTCGGCCTTCGCGGGGTCCATGGCCTTCGTGGGGAGCTTGGCGGAGGGCCTGCGCCAGGCCGGGGGGTTTTGGATGGGTGGATGGGTGGGGGGTGGGGTTGGATGGGTGGGGGGTGCGGGGTGGGGTGGGGTGGGGGGGGAGGTGGGGGGAAAGCAAGCAGAAAAAGGGGGGAGGGTGGGGGGTGGGGGGTGAAAGCATTTGAGGGAAGGCTGGTAGCTTCTAAACCCTAAGAATGCATGGGGGCAACATGAAGGCATTTGGCAATGCACTGCCCGTTGTCAAGCTTGTTGTCGGTGGTCAAAAGACCAGTTGCCCGTTGCTCCACATCCCTTTCTCTTTCCGTCATCACACAAATTTCCCGGGGATCCTGCAAAGTCACCAGAGGTTACGAAACTAAGCGACAAGCCCATCACCCACGTCTTTGCTTTATCACCCGCCGTTCCCTCTTCGTTTGGTCCAACATTGACTGGTTTCCACTGGTTTCAGCGTGTTGTTTTCGCCATGTACCACAAACAAGCGAACAAGTCAATTGACTTGCTAAGTTGCTAACTCAGCTGGCGACCAAAGCATCGAATTGGCCAGCTTCCTAGCCACCTTGAGCCAAGAAATCAGCTAGCGCCTCTGACCATGCCTCAGGAGCTGGCGGAGAGCGGCGTGGGCATCTCATGCTTGGAGACTAGCTCTTTGGGGCGCCTGGATAGCCTCACCCAGGCGCGAGGGGCCGCCCGTTTTTTTTGTTCCGCCGGTGTTTATTGGAACTAGAGGGTTATTTGAACCAGAAGGGGTGCGGGTGCAGCTGTGGGTGGGTGGGTGATGGGGTTGCAGGAGCGACCCATTGGTCTAGTTCAGTTTTGCCTCTCTTTGGATGGGCTGCCCTTGAAGCTCGAGCAAAAGCAGAGAAAAACGAAAAGAGCAAACCCAAACCTACCCAACTCGGACAACATCAAGCCCGGACAAGGCAACCCCAACAAATCAGCCATAAACCAGCCCGGAAGGCAAGTCCTTGCATGTAACTAATCACCAATGGGGGTTGCGGGTGGGATGGCCCCTTCGGGCTGAGGCGCTGAAAACCACCTGCGTGGCCTTCCTGACAGAGGAGGAGGCCCCCACAGAGCCCGCAGGGTTCCAGCCGCAGGCCGGGGTCGAGCTGGGTCGAGCTGGGGATGGTGGTGCAAATTGGGCGGCAGGGTGCAGTCCAGGGTTGTGGAATCAAGGGGTTTATTCCCACTTCTGTGATACAAGGGAATCTCCCCCTGTATATGGGGTGTTAGTCTTTGGGAAGCCCTTTTTGTTGTATCACAGAAGTGGTCATTTCCCACAGCCCTGGGCAGCAGGCTGTGGTTCATGTGGGTTTGGAGCGAATCCCCATTTCCACAGTCGAAGGAGCCCCATGATCCACCTTTGAATGTTTGCCTGCCCATGAGCTGTACCGAATGTTTGCCTAGCGAAGGTTGCTGCCAAATACCGTGCGGGGTCAGCTGGCAGTTGTTCCAGCCAAGAGGCGAAGCTCCAGATTTCCCCAGACCAGATTGGGGGTGGGAGTGCATCATGTTCGGGGAACGAAGGACGGCAACTTTGGGTGCCTCATGCCCCAGAAAAAGCAAAAACACCAGGGGCAATGTGGGAAATGCGCCGAAACACGTTGGACCCCTCCCTGATGGGTTTTCTTTCCTTCGAATCCTTCCAACTCAGGGTGGGCCCTTGATTTCAACGCTGTGCCCCGCTGTTTGGACCAGGCAGCTGTCATCGAAGACTCCTGGAATGAGGAGTACCTGCGGTGTCGCTGCCCCGCCTTCTTCGGTCACCCCTTTTTTGGGGGGAGAGTTCCCCTACTAAAATAGACTACAGAAAAAAGTTGGTACCCTTATTCTAACCTCTGTGTGCCCCTTTTAAACGGACACCTTTTGACCGACGCTGGAATTGGGCGTGGGTTTTTTTCGAAGCTAGCTCCTGGCTTTTCAGGGAGACCAAAATCAAAACCCCACCCATTTCCTTGTCGCGCCTCTCACCCTCTCTTGTGATGAAAGCCCTTGGAAGGACCACCACCCATGTTGGCATGCCAAAATTTTCACCCAGCCGTTCCCTTGGCGCGCGCAGGATGTTCCACCGTGGTCCTCCTTTTTTTTGGGTGGAACGAGCAGCCAGGCTGGCGGAGGAGGAGAACTTCCAGCCTCTGCCGTACGCGGCGGCGAGCTGAGACTGATTTTTTGACACGGAAGAAGGATATGGAGGAGTCCTTTCTTGAGTGTACCTTTTTTTGTTTTGTTCCGGTGGCTTTAAAGGGAAACCAAAAGAAAACCAAAAGGAAACCCAGCATGCTGAGGTCACATTTTACGACACCAGTCATATATGTGCAACTGGCTGGTTTTGGTTGGACGGATGGTAAAATGAGCAGGGGCCGTCGATTTTGCTACAACACGGATCGCAAACGAGCAACGGGAGGCTACATGCGCCTGCCAGCCAACTACACGGCCGTTGCTCTTTTGGTTTCCCATTCAACCACTCCAAACCAAGAGTACACGCAACAAAAGCAGGCACGCAAACAAAGCACACGGTTCCCTTCTGATGGCTGTGCCATTCGAAGGGTTTCACCACCCAATGGTTTTTTGTTTGTTTTTCTTTTTTTCTATGTGTTGGGTGTTGGTGTCGGCAAGCTGGTAAGGTAAATTCGACGTACATCCCGCTGGTGTGGGCCCGGGAAATCGATCAAGGTCCATGTACAACAGGTGTCCGGTGAGCGTAGGCCAGAGACATGTAAAAACCCCCCCCCGCCCAAGAGCTTCTGAACAGGTTCTTTCTGAGCCGGGGGGGGGGGTTAGAATCGGTTAGAAAGTTGTGTTCTTCTCCGCTTCTCCTTCTCGGTCCTTTTTTTCTCCATGACTCGGATCTTTTTCCAAGCATTCTTCGCCAGAGGAAACCTCCCAGAGACGCGAGAGACCGAGCACCCGAGCGCCCGAGCGCCCCAAGGAAGGACCCCCGAAACTCTCAAAGTCGAAGCGCGCGGTGAGGCGGAGATCGACCGCCTGCAGCACGCCCCCCTGTCTGAGATCTCCAATGCGCTCCTGGTGGGTCCGGAGCCCGGGATTGGCGCTTGGGCGAGCGCCGATTGGGGCCGAGCGCCTGTTTGGTGCGGAGTTCGGAGGGGTTGGACAAGCTGAAAAGCCATGGTAGCCATGGGCTCCGAAACGTACACCCAACTTGGCTTGGCTTGGGGTGAGATTGGTTCGAGGGTTGAGAGGTTGGCTCGGAAGTTTCAGAGGTTCACAGGTTCGTTGAGGCTTGTTCAGAGGTTGCTGCGAGGTTGGTTCAGAGATGGCTCAGAAGTTGGTTCAGAGGATAGCCCAGAGGTTGAGTGGGAGAGAAGTTGCAAGCCATTTGTTTCCCGGAAATTGGCTCAGAAGCTGATTCAGAGGTCGGTTCAGGGGCTGGTTCAGGTTGCAACTCAGTTGCAGTAGAGGCTCCCTCAGAGATGGGTATCTTAAATCAACCTACGCAAAGTCAATGGAAGGGCAAAGGCTTAGGACCTATTCTTTTTCCCTGAACTAAATCCACCACTTCATGCTTTCGTGTTTTGCTATGTTTGCACCCCATTGATCAGCATTTGCGTGTGAGTGCGCGCGTGTGAGTGCCATGAGATTAGAACAGTGGGTGGGGGGCTGAAGCGAGCCATTGCCCAATGCTTTCACTCTTTTAAAGACCGATGCTTGTTGGAAGCAGCGTTTTTTGTCTCCTCAGTTGGCGATGGCCCCCAAGCGGACGATTAGATGATGTCTCGGGATAATTCGAGACCTTTGTTGTCTCCAAAAGACTGCCGTGAGTTGATCGTGCTTCTCTATGTGTCACACCTTTTGAAGACGCTGTCTTCGCGGTTCTTCGGGCGAGTTTGTCCGAGAGGAGTCGTGCTTTTTTGGCGCCGAACAGGAGGCGTTTTCGGGACCCGGTGATGCATCACAGACACCGAAGCGGCCGACAATGTAAAAACCATGCAAGTATTTCTCAAAACGGTTGGACCCCCATTTGGTTGCCGGTTTTTCGGCGGGAAGCCAAAAGGACACCAACCATTACTCAGGGAACCCTTGGTTTGGACTGGTGGTCCGGGATTTGAACTCGTAGAGGGTGGGAAACCAAACCCCCGATTCGGCTCCAAACCACCAAGCAACGAGGGAAGCTGAATTAAAGGGCATCGATTCCCACTCTCTGCGAAAAGGCCCATGTGCCTTTCCGCAGGCCTGGGCTGCGCCATCTACGTGCTGGCGCGCTCGCCGGGCGGCCTGGCTTGCGGCTTGCTTTGGTCACGCGCCGTGAAAGAGATCTGCCCGGGGATGTGAAGGATCCCAAGGAGTTTTGCCCACTGTGATACAAGGGAGTCCCATGTTTGTGTATATATATATATATAGCTAGTCTTTGAGAAGCATTTGTTTGAAGAAGTGATCATTTCCCACAGCCGGCCCGCGAGACATTGGAGAATCAGAACCAGTCAGACATGCCAGTGGTGTCAAAACCCAGCGGAACTTACCTCAAATGTTTGGCTTGATTGATATTTCGTTGCAGCACGAGCCGAAACGGGTTTCCAACCGGTTTTGTGCGAGTGGCAATAGGGACCCTCAAGGCATTTGCGGTTGCCCTTTTCTTGAGCAAATGGTTCCAGCACCAGCCAGCTATATTCACACTGGGCCTGCGTGCGCATGTGCGTGTGTTCGCGAGTGCGTGCGTGCGTGCGTGCGTGCGTGCGTGTTGGTTTGTTCGCATTCGCGTGTTTATATATTCGGGTTGGTGTGTGTGTGTGCGTGTGGGTTTGTTGCTTTTTTGTGTGAGTGTGTGAGCGTGTGTGTTCTGTGTGCATGTGTGCATGGGTGCATGGGTGCATGCGTGCATTGGTGCATGGGTGCATGTGTGCGTGCATGCGTGCATGCGTGCATGTGTGTGTGTGTACGCATGTGGGTGGGTGGTTGGGTTGCCGGGTGCCCAGTCTTGGGACCTTGCTATGGCCCAGCCGCATCAGGCCCGGCATCAGCGAGGGCACGGTGCGCGTTCTCTCTGCGCGCCCTGGCTAAGGACAATCAAAGGAGCAATGGATTGGTTTGGTGTCAGAGTTTTTCTGGGGTTCGACGTTTGGACGTGATTGGCTTTCCCATGTTCGTCTCACAAACTTTGGTTTTCCTTACACTCACTTTGGATTCAGCAAAAGGAGGACCGTAGAGATCTAAGCAGGCCCTGACGCCTTTAAGTGGTGAATTACTTCCTCAAATTTCCCTAGTTTCAGGACATTTGCTTTGGGAGGATCATTTCGGCGGCAACCAACGAGGTCTCCACCTGAGCCCCCCTCAGGTGGGAAAAAAACCAACGAGCGGCGATGGGGAAATAAGGCACGTTCCCTGAGGCTTTTCTTGAGGCCCCCGGGTTGGGGGGCACTGATTGGGCAAGCGGATGAGAGCGCCAGGGAGGGAAGCCATGGGCCTGTTGCGCACGGGGGTTCTTCGAATTGAAAGGTTTGGGCCCTCGAAGGATGGTGTTCTTTTTGCAACCATCCAGAAGGGGCGATCCATGACTTGAGGAATGTGATCAAAGAGATGAATAGGATCCATGGTGAAAGCCTGGGATGGTTGACCTCTAATCTCCAACTTTTGGGGAAATGTCTACCCACCAGAAAGGTTCTCAGAACCCGTCTATGAACCCTTCTAAAGAAACCTGGGGAGGGTGGGGCATGGGCTTTGCCGCGGACTTTTTTCAAGGGGTCCACTTGTCTCTGAGGGCAGCCTCTTCGGTGAACGCGCTGTTTGCCTTGGACTACTTGTCGCGTGTGAGCCTTATTTCTGTGGGCCATGGCATGGCCAAAGCTTCCTTTTGCTTGGAATTGGCAGGGATGGTTACGAACCTTTGCGGGATTTTAGACAGCCATCGTGAAGATCCCTAGGACGGGAACTGTGAGCATCACCCACATGAGAAGTTTTTACCACTGCACAGCTGTCCATCCAATGGAGCTTCCCAGGTTTCTTGGGTGTAGATGGGTTGGGAGAGAGCCGGGAGGTTGGGACCTTGGATGGATCGCTGTGATGGGTTCACTTGAAAAGGTGGGGGGTTGGGGGGTAGTGACCACTTGCGCCCATCTTCATCTTGGCGGTTCTACTGGTTTACGAGGACTATAGTATGTTCTACCTTAGTAGAACCAAGAATCAATGAGTTTCTCCCTTGGCGAACATGCGGCCTATTTGAGCATTAGACACCGAGGCTGGTGGTGTCGTGGCCTGCGATTGGGGTACTTGTTCAACCCCATCATGACGCTTGGCTCATCTGCAGACTTCCCCAGAATTAGCTCTTTTTTTTGTTTTGCTTTTTTGGGGTCCCTTTGTTTTCCACTCACCAGGCAAAAAAGATGTTGTATGTTTGCTGGGGTCCTAATTCCAGCCTAGTGCAAAGCCGTGCTGGCGCCGGCCGTTTTCCTTTTGCACCTTCCTTCTGCCAACAGATTGCAAGTCTTTTTCATGGGGCGGTGGCCAATTCAGCCGGGGTTCTGAGCTCAGGGTCGCGGACTTCTTCAGCATCCTGCCCTTTTTGGCGCGACCCTGGGCCAAACGCCTCAGTCTGGGGGTCTGGGAGGTTTCTGGAGCTTGGGACGTCCCCAGTGCCGTGAAGGTCTTGAGGGGTGGAGGGGTGACAAGCAGGAATCTGTTGGGAATATGAGTCAGTCATGTATGGCCATAGGTTACCGGCAAGGTGTCTAAGACGAAGGGTTGCTTGGTTGTCTGAAGCTCCTCCCTCTCCTCTTGGATGCCGACCAGAATCTCTCCTCTGCCTAAGTGCCAAAGACGGAGTGCAGAGTATATCCTGCAGCTGCTTTCCATGCAGTCTTTCCGCCCCAGCCCTATACCAGAAACAATTCCGCCAACACGCCGTTCAGGTCCGTGGTTCTTTTTTTTTTCTTCTCCCGTAGGTTCTCAAGCTACACAGCCAACGCGACCGTGAATGCTCAGCGTTGCCACGACTTGCCGCGACTTGAGACCAAAGGAGCCGGATCAGATGTTTTGTTCCAGGCATCACATGGCCATGGGCCAACAGCCGAATCGTGCCCCCAGTGAACATTCCAATCCATCCCAATCCCACTAAAACAGGCTCCAAAATGGGTGGTGCACCCACCCCAAAATGGGATCCCATTGGTTTTGACCCACGGCCACATGTAAAAAAGAAAAACTGCCGCCGTGCTGCTGTACGCTGCAAAACCTAAGCCCGGACGTCCTCTCTTTGCATATACTAGGATTGGTGGGTGCAAGCGGAAGGAACCAGGGGGGATGTCTCACACATAATTGCTCGCTGATTCTCGGGTAACACGGCTTACAGGTTGGGGAGGTCCCTACCACTTGGGAACTTAAGGTAAGTTGCCCAGACAAACTCCTCAATCAGTGGTTAATAGGCCCCCCCCTCGGATCTTTGGGCACCTTGTGGTGTGGGACCTTTATCACCAGTGGGGTGGTGTCCCTTTCCGTTTGAGTTCGACATTGCAATGGTAGAGATATAATTACACCCCGTGCCATATATATATATATTCAATATATGTATATATATATATATATATTTCCCCTCAAAATGTGAGGTCCCCTACTTCAGCAACATGGAGCTCAACTTTCTGAAGCTCTTCCGGGTGCAAAGGGTCTACCGCCCGGCGGCCCGAACTCCAAACCCTGTCGGACTTCCGAAAACTTTCTGCAAGCCACTTGGAATAAAGGCCAGTGGCTAGGATGAAAGATGTTTTTGTCCAGATTTGAGAGCCTAAGACAGGCATTGCCCAGTTGCCTTTTGGGGGAACCCTTGGTCTCACGATGGACCCGTTAACCCAAGGAATGACCCGGCAAAAGGGAACCAGTACTCCTTATTCGGGAGAAGCGTAGTGCTCCAACTTGTTTTGGGGCCCAGACTGTGGGAGTTTTGGCGCGCACGCAGCCTGCTCGAACAACATGGCACAATTCCCCCCTCCCCAGTTTCAGCTCGTCATCCCGTTTGCCCAGAGGGGAACTGTGCCATCTTGCACCCTGTCCAAAAAAGGCATGCAGATCCTGACGCGTGAATGAAATTCGTGGTGTGCTTGCTCGCTCTTCCCGAACTCCTTCACTAGTTGGGCGGCTACCGCTCGGCCATCAAAGGTGTTTTTACCAAGTTCGATGGCAACGGTATATTGCATAGGGCGTCTTGTCCAATTAGAACTGAGCTGTTACCTGCTCTTTGTGCCGTTAAAAGAGGAAGCCTTCACTTGGGGTTCTTCCGAAAGGAAAACTGGATGGGGGGCGCCGACCAGAACCCAAGGGCTTTGACGGCAGCTTCCCTCTTTTCATGTTTGGATTGCCTGTTGCCTCGATAGCGCACAGTGTCTGTTCGACGCGACGCGATGAAAAAGGGGGGAGGGGGAAAGAAGAAGGCCCCAGAAACCAAACCCTGGAAACCCTTTAGTCTCTTTGGAAACTTGGAAACCCTTCAGCCCCAGAAACCTAATTTAAAAAAACAAAAAAAAACCTGGAAACTGGCCCCCTGGAAACGAAACCCTTCAGCCGCTTTGGCTCCCCCCGCCTCTAGCTGGTGGCACGGCAGGCTTCTTCCGGCCAAAGGCTGAGGGCTGAGCTGCGACTCGAGTGCTTCTGAGTTGATACGTCTCAGGTGTCAAGGGCCCGTTGTTGTTTTTTTGGTGGGCCTGCTGGAAGGTCGGGTTGTGACACGTTTGGTTCTTGGGCAACCTTTTTTTGGGGTCACTGGAATCAGGCTACTCCTAGTTGGTGGTTTGGATTGGTTGGTTGAGGGATTTGAACCCCGAGCTTTTGTAGACGATGAATGGGAAACCCCTCCGTTTCATCACCAAGTCACCAATCCAAATCACCAAGTGGAGAGAGGCTGATTGAAGTTTAAATTAAATGAACACCAGCAGGAGGGCGTCCCCTGCTGCAATCCGCAAGTTGCACACTTTTCTCACATGTGGGAGTCTCACATTTTGGTCGAATGCATTCGCATTGTTGACCCCTGGGGGCCCCTGGCTCCGTTTTCGAGGCGTTCAAGAGCTTCCTGCGGATCCTGGTGGGCCCTGATCAGGCTCCGATGGTCAAAGAGAGGCCCCCTTGTTTGCTGCGAGGCCGAGGAGGGAGGAGTTGTGTCAAGCAATTGTGCGACCAAGAAATGTTGACATACTTTTTTTTTGTGCGTTTTCAACTGGTCCAAACGACACATCACCAAACCCCCAGAAGAAACAGACACTGTCCACGCTTTTAAAGTGTTTAATACAAACTATAGGGGTACCTTCCCCATTCTTTCCATTCTTTCTAGAAAACCTCCGGAAACCCGGTGAAAATGGCCGGTTTGTGGAAAGAACGATGGTTGAAAATAATGGAAAAGGAATCAACCCCTAGAAACTAAACCAGCGCACATTCTTTGTTACCTCGCTGCCCTTCTGCGAGCTGTCTTGGTGCATGCAACTCCCCCGCCTGTGCGAAACTATGCGATTTGCTGGGCATGTTCTATCTGGATTCTCCATGATGGGCCTTCACACAACCTTGCAAACCTAAGAGAGACATAGCTAGGTACGGTGGATTTCCAATTATTGCAAGTAAACTTGCAATATTCTTGGGGCATCCAGGAGTACCCACACAGGTAACGCCCTTTTCGGCTTCCAGGCCTTTCTGCATTTCTGAAGCTGGAATTTCTAAGCGTGAAAGTACACCCTTGGCTTCCATGGTTTCCAACCCACTTTAGCAAGCGGTATATACCCCATTTGGGGAGAGGGGTATGAACATCAGGGCTTTTGGGTTCATTTGTCCAAGGGGTATGTACCTTGGCACCCGAGAATTGGCTGTCGCTGTTTTCTTCTCGGGTTCGGTTTAGGAACCCCGAGCGTGGCTTCTTTCCAGGCGAAGCCTTATGAGGAGGGCCTCAAGGAAGTACGGCCGTACCAGCTGCAGGCCCAGAAACCGCGTGGGAGCAGGGCTCCTGGTTCTTTCTTCCCCACACAAGAGCACTCAAGCAACAACTTTGGTGCATTTTGCCAAGGGATGTTAGGACTTTAACTTGTTGCCAACTAATGGATATGCCATTAAACCACTAAAAGTTAAAAACTTTTAGCAGGGGAGCAGAAAGCAACCGAGTGACCCACACAAAAGCACTCAAGCAACAAGGTCCCCTCCTCTTTGTGAAAACATGACCCGCCTGGCTTAAGTTTTGGGGGCGATCGATCGCCCTTGAAAGGGCAGGGGCGATTGGGTTGGCCGAGGAGTTGTGCCATGGCGTAAGGGTTAGGAAACCAATACCCGGACCCACAATACCCACATGTTCAAACAAAAGGCATGGCTGGTGTGTGATTGTTTTGTTGGTTCGGGGTATTTTGTTGGGACTTGCAGACAAAAACGACGCGGCCGGCCTGAGAATTTTTGCACGGCAGCAGTTTCTTCTGGCGAACTGAGCACTGCCCCAAATACAGCTATGTCAAGGCAAGGTCGTGAGAGATGAGCCATAGAAGGTTTCAAGAGTTATGTACATCACTCCATGAATGAACTGCCTTGACATCCACAATTGTAGACCTAGCTACCTTGTTTTACCACCTGGAACAAGATCTTGGCCGGCGTATCCGGTTTTAGCGCCTGTGTGACTGTCTCTCCTCTAATCTGGCCGTAAAGCCTGGTTAAAAACAGCTATTTGTTGTTGATCCTCATCAGACGCAACGTAGTCTTACGTCGAAGCCCTAATAGCGTCTTGGTCTTTCTTTGGGCCACAACACCCCAAAGCACCAAAACCACTTGGTAAATGAAGCAGTATCCGGCTCGGGCGTTTTCATTGGTAGGCGGAGGAAGAAAACCAAGGGGCAATGGTTTCTCCAAACCAAAATGTAGCCACCAAGCTTATCTGAGATACTGTTTTCAAGACGTGGACCCGGGCTTTGGGGCGCGCAGCTTTCTTGCCAAGTGAAAATTGATTCCCCTCTTCAGGGGAGTTGTTTTGTGGGGCCTCAGGCCATGGCAATTGAGTGCTCCACATGCGGTTGTTGTTGTCCTTTGCATGACATATATGGCTGTGGTTGTCTAAACCGTTTTGGGATCCCATTTTGGGCTAGGTGAATTCACCACCCATTTTGAAACCTGTTTTGGTGGGGATTGGGATGTTCACTAGGGGTACGGGCTTTTAACCCATGGCCATATGCAGGGGCCTTTGCATGGTTTTCTCCATTGAGGGTGGGCATATGGCCAATCCAAAGGTTCCATGATCTGAGCACTGCTTCACGCCAGGTTCTCCGCACCTTTGGCGTGGTCTTCAACTTGATCTTTATCACCGCCGGGTTGAACGCTCAGCATTCGCGCGATCCTGGCCTTGGAATATATCCCCCAAATGCCCCTCCACAGCGGTGGCCCCGGAGTGTGCAGCCCATGAGCTTCCTTGGTGCTGGAAGAGGAAAGATGGGGAAGTCATGGAAAGGCCGAGTTGGCGTACCGGTACGGCGTCGTCGCCTGGGTTTCGGCATGGCATGGTTGGAACTTTGTGGAGAATGGGTCACTCTGTTCTGTCGGCTCAACCAATCGCTTTGCTGAACACCACATGGTAGAGCACCCTGCTGACCCTCAGTCAGGTGATATGAGCAACAGCTTCAAGGGATGACAAAGGAAAGCGGTTAGTGCCTGTTCCTTGACTTGACCCCCTCTGCTTTTATTGCCAGACGTTGATTGGTTTACTTTACATGCATGTGTGTGTTTTCCTTGGGTGAAAAGATTTCGATTCCTTGACATCCAATTTCTTCGGTGTGTAAGCCTCCCGTTTTGCAGGCTCTGCTACGAAGCGGAGCACCCGGTGAATCCTCAGTGCGCGACTCGGATCTCCAGCCTTCCACTCTGCCCAATGGCGCCGAGGGTCGCGGGTCACGCTCGATTTTTCACGCAACGGACAAAAGGGGCAAGCGAGAGTCTGGTCAATTTGGGAGGGACATGGGGGCTCTTGAAATCTGAAGCACCCAAAGCTAGGCAGACGCTCCGATTTCCCGCGTATGTTTGCGCAGGGAGGGTAGTGTGCCAACCCAGAATGGTTTCAGCCGTGGTTTCAAAGGTGGCGCGGTTTCAGCGGTTTTCGTCCACTCACGGTCGTCTCCCCGAAGTCCAAGCTTAGGTTCGGCGACATCTTTTCCTCGTTTTACTTCAGCGTGGTGGCGCTGTCCACCGTGGGCTTCGGCGACATCGGGCCCGTGACGCGGGGCCGGCGGTTTTTTTGTGCGAGAGACAAAAGCGTCGAGCCGGAAAACCCAGGGCTCCTGGCTTGCGACCAAAAAAGAAGAAGACTTTGCGGAGTGCGGCCTTGGCCAAGCGCATCTTCCACCTCGCTGGACAACAAAGCTACTCTCCGCGCCGAAAAATCCCTGAAACCCCAATATGACTAGCGTCATTATCCCAGTTCATGGCAATCAATGTCACTCACATCAACCACGGAAGAGATGTGGCACGCCCGGAAGGGTGTGCCCTTGGAAGCCAAATTTGCCGCGCGTCGGGGTCTTCGACAGTCGGGGGGATGGCACAGTTCCCTTGTGGGTCGGGGGGGATGGCGGACTCAAAATGAGGGGAGGGGGGGGTGGACGGTGCCAATTTCCCTTGACCTAACTGTAAGCCTCGGACCGATCGGATCAGCCAGGTCCGAAGGACGTTTGGACTGCCTCTCAGAGGGCTCGAGAGCGGGCGTCGAGGGACTGCTGGCCTCACATGATGTCTCATACCCTTCCGACAGCACCTCCGCACCCACGGAAGACGAATCAAACTAGGGTTCCGTGCGGTTTTTTCTTCTTCTTTTTTTGCGCAGCGTTTAACCGGAACCAGCAGAAGACATCAGCCAGCGTGACGGGCCCACTTGGCAATGCACGAGATATCCAGACTCGACTCTGGTCAAGCAAAGCAGACCTGAGGTCATCACGGGGGCCATCATCGTGGGGCTATGCCTCATCCCTTCGGAGGTGCGGCTCTGATCCGTCCATTTTTTTGTGCAGGATCCACCGGAAATGCCTCGAAAGGTCGAAGGGGACACCTCCAAGTAGTTGCGTTCCCTTTGGATGCCCTTGGAAACAAACCTAGAACGGGTACCATCAAAGCAGGACACAGCCATTAAGTTGTGCTAGGTGCTAAACAAGCCAGACTCATTGATGAATTATTTAGGAGCTCATGAGCGGATGGAGAAGGTCAGTTTTTCCAGACCCCCCTCCTCAAGACCCAGTTTGGTTTCCCTGAACAAACCATCAGCTCAAGGGGGTCCCACCAGTAGCTCATGTGCCGGTTGGGATGACGAAATGGAGCGGATGAAGTTTGAACCGGAGTTGTTCAAGCATGCGCTAGAGGCTTGTTGGCTCAGTCCAGTCTGCTTGCCAACCCGAGCCATACCAACCGCAGATCTGCGCGTCAGGCGTCCTTGGTTGCTGCTACCTCAGCTCGAGCGGGAAGAATGACACAGCGCCAGCTTCACCTCTTGCAAACCTTTGGCTATGAAGACTCAGGTCCGATGCCTGTGTTGGATTTTCCTTTGGCCCCATCGTGCGCATCATTCGCGTTGAATGACAACGTGGGGCGGTGGAACAAGAAAGACACTCGGAGATTCTTTCCAGGCTCCAGTCGGTTTGCTGACCAAGCCTTTGCATTAAGCAGGCAACCCGGAATCTTTACGCATCTTGCAGATGGTTACAAGCATGGCTAGGGGACAGACCCCACCAAACGGCCGCCCTTGAGTTTTTTCCCTGAGCTTGGGTAGACTACTTTATGATATCACTCGACTTTTGCACATTTTCACTAGTCTCAGATTCCTTACTACTTGGTTTGGGTAGACTAGTTTCAGATGTCTTCCTCGACGTTTTCGCGCATTTTTTTGGCCGTCGAACAAATCGGAGCAGCTCCTCGCGCGCTTCGCTGAAGGCCACGGCCATCGCGGAGGAGCAGCGGATGCAGGATGAGAAGGAGGCGGCCGCCCCGTGCGTGCGGAACCAGGGGCCGCGTGTTCACTTGGGTATGGGTCAAAATTAAAGGACCGCAGGTTTGAGTTCATGTTTCCATTTACCAGGGCAAGCCATTTGGGGTACCTATTTTTTATCCACAGCCACCTGGCGTTGGCGTTGGGCGAATGCCCGGGCGGCGGAAAGGAATCTGGCGCGGTGAAGTTCGCGAGGGCTTGGGCACGAATTACAGTGGTCCAAGCATGAACTGAGGACCAAAGAGAAGTGCCGGGTGTGCGAAGACAGCGTTGCCCGCTTCGATTTTTGACGGCACTACAGCATTATTGTACGCCAGACTTCCTTCATTCAGCACATGCCGAAATAGTGTCCTTATAACACACAGGGCGCCTTTTTTGTTGTCCAATACCCAGAATTTGGGTGTGGTTTCGTTTTGGTTTCCTTTCAACACAACCCCAAAAGAGGGTACCCAAAGAACATCACAACAGAGTTCGCATATGTAGATCTTCCCTCGCATCGAATCAGTCTGGACAAAGTCCAGCACCAGCTAGGTGATATATTGGTCTATCCTAGTATTACGTGGATTTTGTCCGTCTGTTTTAAGATGACATGTTCACGCCCGTCCTCAAAAGGAAGACACACAATGGAACGTTGCTGCCACATGATCCATGATGAATTGAAGCAACCTGCTGTATCCGTCTGAGATCATTGACCATCGTTAGCTGCAGTGAGACGAGCAACCGAACAGGCTGAGCAGGCGCTGGTTGGGATCTCAGGATGTGTCGGCGATGGACTGGGGGCACTGGAACACAGTGAGCCAGCAGATCCGCACGAAGCATGGACTTGCCATGCTGAGGCTGAAGCTGAGCGAACTCGTGCCCAGCTGGCTTGGGTCGGAACCCCAGCTTGGTGGCTGCCAGCTGCGAGTTGCCATGGCTGGCACGTTTGGCGCCACCAACACCACCCAAAACAGCAAACACCACCAACACCAACATCACCAAAACCACCGACACCAGCAACACCACCAAAACCACCAAAACCACCCAACACCACCCAAAACCACCAACACCACCAACACCACCCTAGCGCCACAGATCCAAATCGGAGCCATCACGGCCGCACGCGCGTTTTCTTCGCCTCGGCCGTCCGCGTCAGGACGCGGCCCGGATCGCCGAGCTGGAGGATCTCGATCGCCAGGAGCGAGCGCGCCCGGAGCCCGAAGTGCCCAAGGGACGCCTTTTGCCATGGGGGATCTATCCTAGACAGGCTATTTTTCTAGTCGGTTCAGTGGGGAAACCCATCAAACCCATCAACCTCTGCTCGTAGACGGCCCACAAAGCACATTTGGGGGTTTCCCGATGGGCAACCCACGCTCAGTCCGGGGAAGGACACCTTTTGAGGGGTTTTCGATGCATTCCTCAAGCGCGACCGGCCATGGTCATTGCTGATTTCGGTTTTCATCGATGATGGTCGGAATCCACAGTTTCCACACGTTCCCTGATTGAGAGTCAGCGTGTTTGCGGTTGGATTCACACTTGGCCATGGGTCAAAATCCGAATCGTGCCCCCAGTGAACGGGACCCAATCCAACCACTAAAATAGGCTTCTAAAATGGGTGGTGAATTCAGCTACCCGAAAATGGGATCCCAAAACGGTTTAGACAACCACAGCGGGGCAACTGGCATCACTCCCCCCCAGGCTCCAGGCTGTCATTGAACCCAGGCATCGTCGAGTTGGAGGAGACGGCGACGCTGCTGCCGCGGTTTCGCTGGTTGGCTACTTGCTCTCTTCTCAGCCGTCCACGCACCGAAGCGGGCGATTTTCTCCTTCGTTCATGGCATCGGTGTTGAGATTCCCTCAACTTGGACAATCCAACTTAACTTGCGCCCAGCTTCAGTCTTTCTGATTGGGGTGTCTTGTTTGAGAAGTGGTGCGTCGGGCTGGGCCCAAACGGAAAAGGAAAGGCAATTCCCTGTGAGCGCAACCAATCGGTCGGCCCTTTTTTTCTAAGCGGCCGTTCACCAGGAGCAGGCAAAGACCTGGCAGCAGGAGAGCCCGGGCCCCACACGAGTCCTCCGGGTGACGAGCCAAGCGCCTGGGTGTTCCTTCGCAGAATTCGGGCGAGGCCTTCTCGCACAATCGTGAACTTCCGCACGCATTGGCAATGAGATCATTTGAAGCTCATGGAGCTCCATGGCCGCTTTGAGCCAAACCAAACCAAACCAAACCAAACCAAACCAAACCAAACCAAACCAAACCAAACCAACTACCCAACCAACCAACAAGCAAACAAACAAACAAACAAACACACAAACAACCAAACAAACAAAGACACAAGAACACACAAACACAAGCAAACAACCAAGAACGCGCGTTGCGGTGCTTCAGCCGCGGGAAGGCCTATGGCCGAGTGTTTTTCTTTTTCGTTTAAACAAAACGCTGAAGACACGGCTGAACACACAGAAGCTCATGCACATGGGCGATCGGGGTGCTGAGGTTGAGCCTCAGATTTGCGACGTTTTGCAACACCAAAGACCGCGAAAAAATGCGAAGGTCCACTGCCAGCATATCCCTTTTTGTCAAAGCCCAGTACCTTTCGCGAGTTGCCGTTTGGTGAGCTGCGTTTTCAAAATGGCAGCTGGAATTGGGGTTGGGTTCCCACATGTTTGCCTGTGAGGCCCTGTAGTTGGGTTTGTAGTTGTGGTTTCTTCTGGGCCCCATTTTGAATTACTTACTCCCCCTTTGGAGCGGTAATCATTTCCAATGGGTTCAGGCCAAAGTCAGGAACGCACTCAAAGGCCAAGGCAAATCTCCCATCGGACGGATCGGCTTTGCGCTGGAGGCAAACCGTCAGAAGTCTCCAGTGAGACCGCCTGAGATTCGCTCACGCCGGCGCCGATTCTCGGGCATGCTGGGCGACAAAGGGCGAGCTCGGCCAATTGTGTCGCAGAAGAACCTGTTTGCTTGGGGTCTGCAATGGTCATCCGGGTCCTGTAACAACCAGGCCCATACAACAATATGTTCGACCAGTTTGACCATGGTTCATCCTGTTCATGAGGATCTAATTGAGGGAGGTTCCGCATGTATATATATATATATATACACACACATAGAGTGTTATTCATGCGGATGCATGCAATTGTACCCCTCCAAGACCTGCCTTTTTCCTTTAAATCCGCTGGTAATTACTTAACGGTATTCGGCCTTGTTCGCGTAATCCCATGCACCGGGCGCATCATTTCGCAGGAGCCTGGCAGCTTCAACTCTGTCCAGACAAAGCATGGTGTGTGTGCGCGCTTCTTTTAGTTGTTCTCTGCGGGCTAAGAATCTTCTACAAGGCGCGTTCCAAGATATCAACGGCTTTCCTTGAAGAAAGGTTTCCATGTACCTCCTAGTTTGAGGGAGCCCCAGTGACCTGAGCCAAAGTACTGAAAGACATGTGGAGCGCATTCAATGGTTTGGATTCTCCAGCCACGGCAGGGCGATTTGTTGCCACGGTGGTGGCCTTTTTCGGGAGCTGCGGAGCCCCGATGTCCATCCTTTCCGGTTTCTGAGCCACCCGGTTTTCGTACGCCCGGCCGGCTTGACACTGCAGCCTTGGTGTGCGCAGCTGTGTATCAAGGTTTCAGTTGAACTTCAGTTGCGCAGGGGACAATCGTCACAGCCGGTCGTATGGGCAGAGAGCCAACAACACCTTCAGCCAGCGAGCCTTGGGGCCACACGCGAGTGGATAGCCGGCTCTCACGCTCCGGAAAGGTGGGGAGTTGCCATGGGCGTGCGAGCCTGAGTCGCCCTTCGGGATGAGTGTCGCCGGGTTTGGTTTTCTGCAGCTGGAACAAGCCGTCAGTGGTTGCCTTTGCTTTGCCTCTTTGTTTAAAATTTGCAGAATTTGAAGCCCGCCCAAGTTGAGCATCTTTCATGTTTGTCAGTTTCCCAACTTCCCCTCGCTGCGTGGTTGGGCTTTAGGACCGCCTTGAGGGCGCACGAGGTTTTGCTTCCCCCTCCTTCGCTGATGAGGCCTCTGTATGTCATGGCGACTCCTTCTGCGGCCTTGGAGGTTCAGGCGTGGCGTTCGGGCGGCGTCCGACTGAGGCCGAGGGTTGGTTTGCTGCTTTCTAGGTTTTATGCACATTGAGGAAGCTTTCCAATGGGGAGCTGAACTCAAAATAGGCTTCATGGGACCCCTTTCTTGGTTTGTTCGGCGAGTTGTAGGGCGTGAAACTTGCGGCCCCGCTTTGAAGCTGGAAGAGGGAAGCATCAAACACACATATCTTGGTGGTTCCCAGCCATCCCCCCCGCTTTCTAGGCTTTTAGGGTTTCGTGGTAGTTTCCATTTAATCCACAAAAAGTGGTTTTTGTGTCTTTAAGAAAGTCACTTTTTGGCCGGGGAGTTGAGGCAGCCCAGATATCAAGTTGGTTGAAAGGGCCAAAAGGAACACCGAGGGGGGTGTGAACTCCAATGGCCTCCCAGTGCTTGCCATGCCTTCACGGCGATGGCAGGCACCGCGGCAAACGCGGAGATGAGGCCACGGTCGCGGAAGGAGCCATACGACACCTCGGGGACTCCAAAGGCGGGAGGGGATTGGTGGCCTGGTGGGAGTGGAGGGCTGGTTTGGTTTGGTTTGGTTTGGTTTGGTCTGGTTTGATTTGGTGGTTTGGTGGTTTGGTGGTTTGGCTTTTGGTTGTTTGGTTGGTTGGTTGGTTGGCTTGGTCGAAGTCTTTATTTAAAGCTGCTCCTCCAGGGTTCTGCTTAGTTTTTGGTTAGCAAGAGCCTTACAAGATTTGGTAGCAGTTCAGGCATGTTTCCTGGCAGACGACACTGGCTGGTTTTGCGCAATAGTCAACCAGCAATATTTAGCCAAGGTGAGCAATTCAAAAGTCACATCGAAGCCGGGTAGCATCGGCATCTGTGTCAGGCATGATCTGCTTTTGGGGGGCGGAGGTTTGAGAAGTACGTTTTGCCTCAAGGAAGCTGTACGTCGGATCTTTATTTGTGTCCACTAAGTCTAGGAGCATTGCAAGCAGTCAAAAAAAAAGGGGCTGGCGCCGAGGCAGTTCAACTGTTTTCTCGCGGATGGCAGCCTTTGCAGCCAGTGAAGCAGATATTCTTGACATGCAAATGCCCGCATACGCCCTACGAGGCTTGGACTGATTCAGCGGAGTGCCTATACGATCAAGCGTGGCATTTGTACGGTCATTGAAAGCGATTTGAACCAAATTTGGAGTCTTCTATGGGCAATATGACGACCCCTGTCAAGAGTGGCACACAAATCGATCCTCCCGAAGACTTTTTCAAAATGGAGGTGGGGGCTTCTTTGGAGAAGGCCCCCGCAAGGGCGCTTTCCATTTCAACCGCATCCTTGGTTTTGCCACCCCCAAGAAACGATATAAATTATATGTAACATAAATTCAATTGGGTTGCATGCCTTTCAAAAAAAAGCATTTTTCACGAAGAATACTCGGGGTCGCCGCCTGTTGTGGGGGGTAGTCGACCAGACAGGCGGAGCCTGGGCTCTTCGGGGCGGACGGCGCAGCGGCTCCGGCGGAGTTGCGGAGGGATGGGACGCCCACGCTGCCAGCTGGCCTCGAACACGGAAGCCACCCAGTCCCAAGGGCATAAGTGTCCTTTTGATGAGCCTGGTTGAGCATAGATGGGTTCCACTGGTTTAGATGGGTTTTGTTCCATTTGCCAGGGAAACCCATCTATTTTTCCAAAAGGCCACCTATGCCCAAGGGGCGGAGCCTGGGTTGACCCCACAAAAGTCAGATGTTTTTTGTTGTTTCGTCGTTGACCGTCGTTGTGACACTTTGTAACGTAGGGGTTGATCAGTATATTCCGTTCGGCCCCAAATGACTGCGTGATTTATTTGCCATGAGTGGTTGAAATATCATCATTTTTGGTTTCCCAATGGTCATCCCATGTAAAGGACCTTTTGATCAACCCCCACATATTCCCGTGCACGAACAGCGTGAGTAATGTCGACCCCATATTAATCAACAGAATAATCAACCCCTGTTTATTAGTAGGGTGTTTCTGGGTTTAGTGGGGAATCAGACTACTTTTAGACTCCGAAGAACCAGGGGTTGATTCAAATTAGGTTAACATTAGCAAGTTATTTATGGTCACAACTGGGAGCTGGGTGGTTTTCTTGTCTGTGGCTTGAACAAGGGTTCAACCCCCCGTTTATTCACAGGGGGGCGTCCCTGGGTTTTGTGGGGAATCATCACTTTTAGAGGGGAATCATCACCCCTTGTGAATAAACTGGGGTTGATTAATCTGGGGTCAACATTAGGTGGTATATCGGTTTTGCCTAGTACTTACAGGGAATCATCCACTGGTGCGAAGTGGGTTTTGTCCACCAGTTTCGTCCGTCCACGAGGGTTGAAAGTGATGATTTCCCACTAAACCCATAGACACCCCAGAAATAAACAGGGGTTGATACTGTGGACGGACGAAATCCTGCACCACCTAAGAAATTCTGGAATCATGACTTGCCTGTGAATATTAACAAACAATAGTTTCACCCATAAATTCAAAGTAATACAACATTTTGTCCATCCACAGTATGTCTCAACAGAGGCTATGGACTCTCAAAATTGGCTTCGGATTTCCTTTTAGTGTCCCTTGAAAAGCCGAAAGGGTGCCATCAACAACAGCACACCCCCTAGACACCATCTAAACCCATAGACACCTTAGGAGATACACAGGGTTTGATATTACTGGCGTCCACATCGACTTTTCCTTTCAAAGTCCCACGAGCGGCTCGTTGGCGAGTCGGCTCGTACAGCCAGGACACCGCCCCGAGCTCCGTGCGCCTGAGAGACGGGCACCAGCCCCTGGGGCTGATGTTTTGGATCCGTTGGATGCCTCAGGTGGGTGTGGGTCAAAGTTAAAACCACCAGGACATGGACCGCAGATTTTGGTCGATGTTTCCATTTACCAGGGCAGTTTCTAGTCCAAGTTGAGTCGGTGGGGGAGATTTAGTTGAGTCGGTGGAAGGCACATATATTATAGATTGCATGAATCATACCATGTTATGATACATATATATATATATACACATATATATATATACATAGTAGTACAAACTACATCCGCTAGAGAAGCAAATAGTCCGGACTACAGAGAAAAAGAAGAAGAAAACAACTATAGTATATGTCAGGTTGGCAAATTGATTGCTGGGGCTTGAGTGCGAAAAGCCAATGAAAAGGCTGTTCGGCATCCATGCGTGGGAAACTCAAAGGAAAACAGTTGGAGAGGTCTGGGACCACTGCACAAGAATCAACGGAGGAAAAGCATCCGCCAAACCCACGGCGGGGTTCTTTATCGCCGTCGGGCGGCCAGAAAGGAAGCGACTGAACTTCTGAGGCCTCCAACATGACGAAGACGTCAGCCACAAAACAGGTGTTGGTCCACCAAGTAGAAAAGAGCACCGAAACGCCATCGAGACAACCAGGCAAATACACAAAGTACAAGCAAACGGCGTGGAAGAGCTGGTCTGAAGCTTCGCTTTGTACCAGTAGTACAAAAAATGCTATCAGAGAAAATATAATAAAAAACACAAATGTAAATTTATATTTGGTTTGGCAACTCTTTCAGTATCCCCTAAGCAGGATGCTTGGCGCTCGAGGTTGCCGCTGGCGAAGCCGCAAAAAACGTGCATTTGTTCGAGGACTTCAACAGTTAACAGTTGCTTCTGTTCTATGCATTTGAGGAATAGAATCTGGGTGTGTCGCTTTGCCGAGTTTTTTTTGTGCGTGTTTTGCTTTGAGGGGGACGGCTTTGAAAGGAGTGCCGGGTGCGGGGACACAACGCCGGCGCAGCCGACGGCATCTCAGGCGCGGGCTTGCGGCCACTGGCCAACAGAGCCCGAACCTCGGGCAGTGACCGGCTCTTGGTTTGACTTTTGAGCGGACGAAAAACGTACAACAACCAATGGCTGTGGGTCAAAGATGCGTACCCAAAATGGCTGGCGACGGGCAAACGGAACTTGTCCTGAGGTTTTATTTTGGGTCAAAAACCCTGGGTTTAGCTGAAGAAACAGGTAGGAGAAGAAATAGCTTTTGGGTCAAGGCCTGGGCTTCGACGGGACACTTTGTCACCTGCGAAACGGGATGCGAGGCCTTATTGCAACCTCCTGACTAACTTGCTGGTGCGAAAAGTAGGGAATGAGGGAATGGAATGACCCTGGGGTCCCTTAAAGGAAACCACCAGTTGGATGGTTTATTATCACAATTACTATTATCATCATTATTATTATTATTGTTAGTTGTCCAGGCGCGGAGCCGCCGGATGCGAGGGGCGCGGCTCTCAGGGGCTGACCAAGAGGGTTGCTCTCAACATGAAATGCGTGTGGGTCAAAATGAAGCCACCAGGATATCATAATTTTACATTTTTGCTCATTGTGGTTTAGTGGGAAATCCCCACTTATACAGTAGTTTTGTTTTGCTCCCCTTATATCGTCAACCAAGATATGGACCGCAGGTGTTTGTTTCCAGAAAACCCGGGCAAGCCATTCTGAATACCTATTTTTGACCCACACCCAAATTGGTCGTCCACCTT